CTAGTCTGGTGTTTGGGGAGTTCTTTCAGCAACGACTATCAAACAGAGACGACAGGTGATATCAGACGGTATGGCGTTAGGGCCCGTCTGGCTGCCCGATAATTGTACTATATAGATACCGTAATAGTAGTAGTAGTAATATAGAGCTGGAACTGTCTGGCGAGCGATGTCAATGGAACTATCGCCCTCCCTGGCCACGATTACGAGTATCTCAGGCAGCCGGCGAAAACGTGATCAGTTGTGGTCGGATTCAGATGCGGCGTCTATAGCTTTCTATATATATATGTGAGCGCGTGTATATATTTGCATAATAAATCGCATAATTAAGTTTGTTTTAATGCTGATCGTCGTCGTTGTCGTCGTTGGAGTGTCGATCGCAAATAGTTGCAATGGAAAATTACGCGATCGGATTGCATTGCAAAAAAAACAAAACAAAAAAACACGCAACAAAACGCAGATTCGTTCTCTCAACATCTCAGATTGCCTATGACCCCGTCCTGAAATGGCAAAAGATCGGCTAACATGGCTGATTTCTTTTCTTGCTTTATATTTATAGTCTTAGACATTTTGCGACTTTTCTTTCCGTTTCCGCTGCGGAAGAGCCCCCTTTTTTTTACGTTTGTTTGGTTGCCAAAAACGAAAGGTTCGTAATGCCCTGGTTTAGTAAGGGTTAGAGGTATATGGGTTTGTTTGTGCTTAGACGAGTTAGTTACAACCTGAAATATTCCATTTGCTTTCTTTTTAAATACAATTTTTAACTGCCTTTTATTCCTGGAAATATTAATTATTGACTCGTCGCAGCTCTATCTCTAGATTTTTAGTCACTCTCTGAAATCTTATATATAGTTTTAAGAATTTCGCTTTCCCCAAAAGCATTTTGATTTATAAGATCAAACCGAAAAGTAAACAAATTCGAGTAGTTGGCATCGTATTGGTCAAACATATAGCCGCAGCTTCTTTCTTTATTTCGCGATCACGCTTCGATCAGGTGCTCTAGGTCAGTTACGGCATTGCTGATCACTCTGCGGCCGGTCTGCCTTTCTGTCTTCTGTCCCAAAAATAAACCAGTTCTATATTTATGATTTAAGTTTATGCTGCGCAGTTTATCAGCACTTTTCACTGCTAGAGATCATGAGTACCTCTCGGCTCTTCGACATTTTCGACTGCATTGATAAGGCGGCGTGTTTAGGTCGCGCGCCTTGTTTCTAAATTTAAATCAACGCAAGAGGCTTTCCGAAACTAGTCTATATACTAAGTAGAAATCCTATCAGGTCTACACACACACCCACACAAAAATCACTGATAATGGCTAATATAATATGGCCCGACTGATACGGTTTGGCCGGCCAGTTTCATCAGCCGTTTTTCACGTTTTTTTTAGCGATGGCTCCCGCGACGTGTGCCTTCTATGCTTATTAATTAATTATGCTTTTGAATCAGCCTCCAGCTGCCTGGCTTGAGTTCTTTTTTTATTTTTTATTGTTGTTGGCATTTTGTCTAGACATTGGGTACTTTCCACTTTGGCGTAGAAACTGGTGAGATGGTGTGGTATGTTTGATTTTGGCTCACGCAGGCGGTGAATGATGTTTGAGGGTGGAAATTAACCTAAGTTCGATTTTTAGAAAATTTTTAAGAAATAAAAACTCTTAACTTTCTATTGGGTAAGGGGAATTTTTAAATAATTTAAGTAGTTTTTATATATTTAATTGCTTATTTTGTTAAATAAGTTTTTATGGTTACAAAGTCTAAGAATTGATAGAAAAATCTTATAAAATGTAAACATTTTTGCGAATCAAATTTACCAACTACCAAAGCCTATATAAAATGATTTTAAAAACTATCCAACGTAGCCCCCAAACTGCATAAAAACCACACCTTAAACAGAGGAAAAGTGGAAAGTCGCCCGCATAAATTAAAAAATTTAAATGGTCCCCAACGACATCCGTTGGATGCGAACTAACTATAATTACAACAGCAGCCAAAAGACGCATGCGGCAGTCATGAGAAGATATGAAAATCTGCAACGAAATAGACAGGATATATATTTATGTGAACAGTGTGTGTGTGTGTGTGTGTGTTTGTGCCACTAAATTTGCCAGCGGGTGCCAACGAAGGCCGGGGTAAATGCAATTTCAAGTGCAGCCGAAGAGAGAAATCTTGTAGAATGATACGGGATAAGAGCAAAGAAAGAGAGTAGTGTAATTAAGAAAGAGAAGGAGGGGTTGGTAATAAGGAGGGGTGCCTTGAAAGAGAAGAGGCATACCTTAGGAAAAAGGCGGTGAAAAAGGGGGGGAATAATATTAAAAAATTATTAAGAAATATTTATCATTTAAGACTAAAATATTTAACATTGGTTTACCTAAGTGTTATACGAAAAGGAAAATAAATTTTAATAATAATAATTTTTTTTATTTATAAAGCCTTTGGAAAACTGCTGTTCTATAAATAAAGGGTTTCAATTCGATTTTTTAAAAAACAAAAATAAAACTGGAAGCATTATAAATACACCTCTGAAAAAAGATACATTTTTAGCAAAATTTCTATAAATTACTGCAGTCCTCTTTCAATATAAAACAGATCAAAATCAGAATCAAGGAAGATAAAAGCTCTTTAGACGGTAATTGGAATAATATTATTAAATAATATTTAAGATCTAGTTTATTTGACTTGATAAAGTTAATATTTCCCCTCCAATTCCCTGAGTTAAACTAACATCAAAATGTTGCAATGAAGGTAATATGAAATTCAAATAAATTTCATGATCTCTTACTTTATCCTCTCAATTCACTCTACGCCCCTGTGCAATCTCATCTGGTCTACGACGATGAAATGACCGGCTACTGCAACGAGCCACTTCAAGTAACCACTTCTTTATGCACGCAGGGATCTCTCGAAACCGGCTTTCAACTAGGCAAGCGCAACTTAGCCGGCCGGCTCTGCCCTCTGCCCACCCTCTCCAAAACCCCTTCATCCACCCAAAACCCACTGTTTTTTCCCAAGAGATTCAATGGGATGCTGCGTTGGCAGTCGAAGAAGAAATGAAGAAAGTGCGCATTCAAAGTACTTTTTTTTTGTTTAAACGTCGTTGAGACTCTCGAAAGACAAAAAGCGTGAACCCTTCACAGAGTTGCATTATCATTGGGTTTCCAAGATGTGATTCGAAATCACGCATTACGAAAGCATTTCTCTGATTGAAAATCAAAAGAAAAAAAACCATGCAACTAAACCGCCATGAGTGAACGTTACCCAAACACGCACACCAATAGCCGAAGCATAGATAAAACTCAATCTTTATGGCGAAGGCGCCCCAGCAAACCAGCCACAAATTCGAGTTCCGAAAAACGAGACTGAGACTGCATTTCTGTGTGTGTGTGTGTGTGTGTGTAGAGTGTAGAGTTGGTTGCATTCAGTGGTTTCCGCTTGCCTGGGACACTTTTTTTTTTTTTTGATGTGGGTACGACATTATCATGTGGGTCGAAAATGGCCTGAGAGTTAGATTAAAATAGAAAAGGCGACGAGGAAAATCAATTCAAATGGTTCATTAGTTGGGTCTTTCAGATTTTAGCCTTTTATACAGGTATTAGGTGGGGAATTTGAATTTGAATAATGATTTTGATTAGGATTTTCAACTCCAACCACAAATGACTGGTATAAAACGTAAAAAAATGTGTATAAATTCGTTAATAAAGATCGAAAGATACTTTTACTTTATAAAATAATAGTAAAATTAGTTATAAAGGCCAAAAACATAAAAGTGTTAATATTTTTTATTAGTTTTATAATTTCTTTCTCACGACTTTGACCCCTATATCGGGTTTTCCTTAGTATATTTACCCCATTTTCTTAATTTAATCAATCGAAGCCATTCACTACCTGCCTGTTCAATAAGTTTTTCCAGAACACAAAAGATGAAAAGAGTCTCTTACACAAGGGCTAATTGATTTACGGATGTCAAGGGAGTACCCATACATAAAAGAAAAGCGTGGGCAGAAAACATAAACCGAAACCCACTCAAAAACGAGAAGAGTGAGGCCCTATTTTTACGAGTGCGGAAAGAGATCTTAAGTATCAGAGTTTTTGTTTCATCTTTCAATGGATAAAAGACAGAAATAGTAAAAATTTAAAGTAAAAATAAGAATTCTTATTATAAATTATTATAAAAATAAACCCAAATTTGTCAAAAACACACTAATAATCAACCAGGTGTTACTATTTTGTCCCACCGTTTATATCAAAACTCCCATAAACTGCTGGAATGCATTTAATTTGTATGTGCTTTAAAGTGTTAACTGGTCAGATCAGCGACTATAGTACAGCGACTACGATAAGATAAATGTCCAAAACAGCTGACACGGAATAAGTGTTTGCCAAATCCCTTGAAATTCACTCGACCGCCACGAGGCACAGTTGGGTATTTCGACTATAAGATGGGCGGGATGCTAGGCTAGTGTCCCGTGCAAGTGATCATGTCTCGAGGGGCTGACACCAGTTTTGACTTTTGTCACCGCCACCGGCGCCTAAACTAATCAAAGCAACTAAGACATACGCTAAAACAAAACTACAACTACAATCACAGTGGAATATCAAAATGCAATCAAAATATGCAAGCCACGTAGATCAGGCGAGAGGGAGTGAGACGGAGAGACACTGAGAGTGAGCGGGGCTATTCTAGAAAGAGAAACAAGAATGGTATAGGAAAGCAAGACAACGAATAGTAAATGCTCTTTTTGGTATGGAATATCCTTCAAATACATATTTTTTGTCATTAGTAATACTGAAAAATAAGAGGAAATTAAAGTCAATTATATAAAAAAAATAATTGAAAACAAGAAGGCCGTTATTTTCTTTATTTACGTTCTAAATTATCTCCCTCTCTCCTTCTCGCTGAGTTACAAACACTCTACCAGAACCGTAATACTCTCTCAAACGGTATAGAGGCACCCACTCTCTCGCTCTCTTTGCCGATCGCCGGGAAGTCTTAACGGCAAGTTGCAGCAACAAACATTTTCATTCGCTTTCGCAGCGTCGAAGTGTACGGTTCATAGGAGGAACGGAACGGAACGGAGTGGAACGGACCGAAACGGTGAACGCGACGGAAACTAGTTGTTGCTGTTTTTTTTCTCCGTGTTCTTTTTAAAAATAAAATAACACAAAAAAAAATTAAGTAACACTTAAGCAAAGTCCGCGTGAAAATCAATTGAAAATCGTTCGTCGTTTTGTGCGTGTGACCACCATCAAAAGTGCCACCGATCGGAGGATTTTAATAAATTCAATTAAGATCGTTTTCATTGTCTGACGCACACGCGTGATGTACAAATGAAAAAGTAAAAAGAAAAATATAAGAAGAAAAAGAAATCACAGTAAAAAAAAGTAAAGAAAAGTGATTGACTGCACAAGAAAAAGAAAAGTTCCTTACCTCCTAGCCAGAAGTTAAAAGTGAAGCGGAAAGCAGAGAGGAGATAACAGCTAACGGTTAGTTGGGAAGCTTTAAAACGAAAAATAAACAAAGTTTATAGCTGTGCTTTGTAACATATACATACAAATATCAGCAGGGGGTTTCTGCCTGATGATATTTTTATTATCAAACATCATCTTTTTCGATTTCATTTTAACATGAATTTGGCCTAAACTAATCAAATTTTGAATAACTATGAATATGTAGATCGTTTTATGAACATTATATATACACGCTCTGTATACATCATTAAAACCGATTCCACCTGAGATAAGCAATCAATACGAAATTACATAAATATATATATAAATATATTTTGCGATCATGCATTTACATTCCAATTAAGTGTACATTTATTGCCGCTTTGCTGCGCTTCAAATAAAAAAACAAACAAAAACAAATCATTTAATTTTCTAATACTCTTTTCCACAGGGGCTTCCACTGAAAAAGTTCCTTGTTTTGTTAAGAGAGATCATTGTAATCAGCGCAGATCGAAGCCAATATATAAAATGATTTCACACAGTCCGCCCATATTCAGTCACAGTCCACCCGTTAGTTTTCTGGCGGACTTCATGAGCGGACATCAGCGTCAAACGTTAAAGTAAGTTTACAAAGCGGACAATATAGACATCATAAATAAATATTGCTAGCAATTGGTCAAATTTAATAGTAAATTAATTGATTAAAGTGAACTCACGAGTTTTGGCTGGCAATCAACTAAAATTAAATTAACTAAAGAAAGAGTTTTTTTTGTTTTTCAAAGCAATTTCAGTTTGTCAAGTCTTAAAGCCAACTTTCTTTTTGCATTTTTCTTATCATTTGATAAGACACCAAAAGCAATTTCTGAGACATCTTTTAAGAATGCCAACAGCTGGTGTACGTGTTAATGAAAGAAACGAAAAAAATGTCGATAAAAATGTCAGATTAACTGATTAAAAAAAAAAACAAGAAAAAACAATGAGCTTAAACATTTCCTTTGTTATATAATAAACATGCGATATTAAGTGAATTTAAATGAGAGATATAATTAAAACATAATATTAAGAAACATATACAAAAATGTTTAGAGAAAATTCTTTTTTTTTTGTAAATATTTAAAAAACAGCTCTGAATATTAAGAACAGAATATAAACTTCAAAATACCCAAACATAACCCACATTAGCTTTATAAACAGATCAGAAAAACACAATTCCCTTTAATGAATGTAAAAACTTGAATGTTTACAAAACGTGGAAATGAAAAATCGATCTCCAATATTGATTTTGTTTAAAAACACCTGTTCCAACTGTCATCTGGAAACATTTTAGCACCTGATCAAAGGCGGTTGAAAATTTATAAACCTAAGAACATTATTCAAGAGCACAATGAATGCAGGTACTAAAAATATTCGCACGACTAAGGCTCGCCTTTTGGGTTGACAACAGATTGGCAAAAATATTAAAATGAAAGCACTCAAGATCAAGGCAAGAAGACTGCCGACTGCTGAACCAAAACAAACATTTCACTGAGGTGATCTTTTGTTGGTAGAGTCCGAGAGTCGCGAGAGATTTTGTAGGAGAATTTATGCACGAATGTTGAGTGGAGATGAGAAATCATCATCTGCTTGGCGACAAATTTGCGCGTGGCGCTTCGACACAACATTGCCTTTCTCAGGGGCACACACGACGGGCCACCCGAAAAAAAATGATGACAAATTGGTAAAGGGAAGAAGGTTATATAACTACATATATAGAGACGACAGCAATTGATTCAATAAAATCAATTTACCATACTTCATCAGCTGCACGCGCTGCATTTTCTTTCAAATTTTTAGTGTGAATTTTATTTTCGGCAATGATAAATCTACAAAAACAAAAATTTCATTTAATTTATGTCAGAATATATATGAGTTTGGGCTAAAAATAAACATATATAGGTAGTATATGGCTGAGCAAAACAAACAGGCCAAAGAAGTGGTTAAAATAAAAACCAAATAATAATCAGTTAAGATTAAAGAAGTCTAAAAGTAGGTACCTGTAACAGCGACTCTATAAAAGAAAACCCTGCTGGGAGACCCTATCTCAGCATTTCTTATCAAGTAACACGTGAGTGGCATGCCCAGCACTTCAGCTAACTAAAGTAACTCAACTCATCAATCACTTGAAATTTCATATTGTGATTTTACAACAGTTAAAAGCCTAAAATCACCCACGTAACTCATTGAAAAAGGTTGCCAACTCAAGCACTAAATATGCTGATATAGTGGCCAGACGGCGGCGGCTATTAACCGGAAAACGTTTGTGATAGCAGACCTGGCCAGACGGAAAAGTTCCCATAGCCAGGCCCACGCCAAAAAAGCCATATCAGCATGCTAACAACATATGCTCAGCATGCGAAAAGTCCATGCGATCGAAACCTTATCAACTTTTAGTTTTATAAATGTCTAGCCGAAAAATATTCTGATAACTATTAATGAGAGATGCTAAGTGAGCCAAATGAGTAAGACAATGCCATGCGATGACTCACTGAAGATGACCAAACAAATATGCTTTAAATTAATATTAGAAGTAAAAACCCCAACCCCAAGGGGGGAGGTCGTGCGCAACTCCTGTTATCAGCAATGTTTCTTTATAGACAATATATAGACATATCAGTGGAAGTACAAGTGCAAATACATGAAGTACATATATATAGGCCTCTGAGGACAATGAAGGCAAACATTGAGGCAGTAAAAAGTAAAACGAATCCATCTTATCAGCCCTGATAAAAGCCAGCTTGATGCGTAGATGTCCGAAATAAAAGACTGATCCAAGGATTTTCTTTTCTTTTCATTTCTTTTTCAAGAGCAAAAAAAAAAACAAAACAAAAAACTGAAAAACAATTGAAAGATAGCTACCATCTGCTGATGTTTTAAATATAGAAATTATATTTTTTGCAAAATGGTGTGAGGGAAATTTATTTTTTTAACTGAATGTGAAGTGCAAACTGAAAAGTTGATGGTTGTTTTAAAAGAAATTCTTTAAATAAATATATTTTTCTTCAATTTAAATACCAAAAACTAATTGCAATTTTCTCTCTCTGTACTTTCAGTTACAATGACGAGCCCAACAGAGCTTCTCGCTACTGTCGGCCCCAAGTGATAACTTTGGCCTCCAAAGCCATGGTCAACAACGCCTCAGCGGCGGTCCAGGGCCAAGGGCCCAGTCAACAGAAGGCTGGTGCCACACCCTTAGGTGTGGGCAGTCGATCCGGTAGGAGTTACCTGGAGCGTATGGCCTCAGCTCCCTTGCTCAACAATCAACCCAAATCCTGTCTTAGCCGCAAATCCTGCCTGCACAAAACCCAAAATACTACGGCCAGTTCCACAGATCTCTCGCCAACGACAACAGATAGTGATGTCACGGACAGTGCCAGCCATAGCTGTATGTGCAGCAAGGACAGCGACACCAACTGCGAACTGAGGTGAGTCCGTGTGTGTGTTGGTTCGATAAGATTACATAATGGAAAGGTAACTTGATATGGCGACGACGAACCGATCAAGAAGGCTGTAAATGCCGAAGGGTTCAGTCAGTACTTTGACGTCAGGCCTTCGAAGATACCTGGCGCCGCACTTACTAAACCGCCAACTGAACTAGTTGAGGCTTTTGTGCGGGGCCAGAGTCTAGGTATTTGTGGTTAGAACTGGGTGTATCAACGGATAAGTGAGTCATTCATTGGTAAAATATCAAAAGTGGGGGGGAAATCATGAGCAAAAACCAGAGAAAGCGTGGTAATACAAGAAGCTAAAGATGGTTTTCATTTTGGTAACTTGGTAGTTTGTGGTTTAAAAAGAAATCGAAAGATTATCTTAGAGGGTTAACATATCAATGATCATTCTAACTTAATTAGCGTTAGAGATGATTTTCAATAGGAAAAAAAGGAACTTTAACTGATTTTGTTTCCTAATATCAAAACTTTAGCATTCCACTACAGCCTTTAAAATACCATATCCGGTCAGAAAATGTCTAAACAAAGATTAATCGTCCAAAAGACATTTACGATAGTTTAAATAAAAAAGAACAAGAAAATCTGTTGGCAGTCGAAAAACTTTCCCACAGACGTCATAGACCGAGCACATGTCATTTGTTAAATAAGCAGAGAAAGCAAATTGCATATGACCCGCCAGTCTTAAATAAATGCAAAATGATCACAAAAATATACTCGAAATTATACTTACGCTGTAGGAGTATATATATATATATATATATATATTTAAGATCATGCAATTTCACAAAAACAAAATATAAATTATCTAAATGAGTGTGGAAATCTGCCGAAATAAAAACACGCCACTGCATCGAGAATGGCTATATCTAGTATATCTGAGATAAAAAAACGGCACATATTAAGACTCAAATCGGAATAGGCGGTTATATAGTATAGACCTCATGGGTGAGGCGCCTCTCTATCTGATATATAGAGAGAAAACATTATCGATACCTATAGAGGCCAAGCAAATATTTGGGTTGTCGATAGATATCTTATAGATATTTTTGCTTTCAGCAAGCCCTAGAAAAGATTTCCTTCTTTGCACTTGAATCTGACATTTTGAGAAATGCCTAAAAATATATATATATATAAATATATATATACTTGCTATATAGTACATGCCATGAGATAGAGAAAATAATTTATACGAACATTTGCGTCAAAGGCGGGCACTATTTCTATTTGGGCAATGTCTAGACATGGCAGATCGCGGGCTTAAAGCGCTTGCCAGCTCTACGAATCTCAAATGATGAATGCAATTACCCGTAATATTATCAATGTAAACCAGACTACTGTTGTAGGACTTTGTGTACATTTTGTGGTTGCGTATTTTGTATGACTTGTTTTTATCAGTTACGAAATACAGTGAGAGAAATACAAGCTATGTTTGTTGCTTTACAAGAGTAAGAAAGAGTAAAAAGTTCCTCTTTATAAATATTTTTACAATCCAAAGTTCCCCCACATCAGCTGTCAAACTAATCAAATTTCGAGGTCTTTTTCCATAAACAACTCAATTTAAACCAAGACTCTTTTTAAGTAAAAATCTAAAAATAAATAAAAATGCATCTTCTTAACCCAAGACCCAAATTGATGCATGAAAACCACATCCATCACTTTCCGAAACTTTAGACCTTCTGCCCCACCTTCCTTCAATCACACTTTTGACAGGCCCATGAAAAAGCTTTCCTCTTTCTTAATTAGCCTCCCCCAAAAATCATCAGCCACGAAAACGACACAGACGACGGGTCACGTCAAGGCCGAAGAATTATTAGACCAGAAGCGTGATCACTTTCAACAGAAAGGCGTCATTTTTTGATTAAATAAACACAACATTTTTTTTTCGGGTGTATAGTAACTAAAAATATTTCAACATTACAAGCCTCGAATGCACACACAGACGGTAAGGTTATATATAGAGAGTTGGGGAGATGGGGAGGGAGATATGTCTGATGTTCATGCAAAGATCACGTGAATCGATCAGAAATGTGAGGCTGTGCGGCAGGCAGATGTGTGTGATGTAAAAATGTTGGCGCATCATCAGCCGAAAAATGTGAAAAGAATTTTGTAAAATTTACAAAAAATTTATTTTCCCTTTTATTTGATATAAATTTTATTATGGCTTAGAAGCCTAAGAAAGTAATTAAGAAAAACGACGAAACGACAAAAGTTTTCCCACTAAAAACTATTTTCAGTCTCCAACGATTTGGACTTTGGCTGTGCGTAAGGGAAATTTCCGAAATATCTAAACGAGATGGCATAACTTAAAATTCTGTTAGTGAAAATGAAAGAGAAAATCTCGGAAAATTTGGCAACATAAAAGACGGAAATACCTTGATTAATTTACAGAAAAAAAAAAAGTAAACCAGTAGTAAGGTCAACTAGAATGACCATCAAATCAGACAGTTGTAAAAATTTAAAACAGAATACTAATTTTTTAGACAGGTTATTGACTTAAGGAAATTGGGTGGTAGTCAGTAGCAAGGTCTGCTCAGACTGAAAAATCAAGGAAATTAAAAAGTATTTTTAGACATCATTTTCATTTACATTGAAAGGCTTACCTTTTTTTTTTTGTAAATTTTAAAAAGCCCTTTTACTGCTTACTTAAAACCTGTTTCTCCTGCCACCAATATCAACGATCTTAATGCGGCTTGCATATTGAGGAGTTTTAACAAATTTATCGACTTGTTATAAACCGGACGCTCAAAAAAATAAATAAATGCGATCCGTAATGCATACGGAATTGTGGCTGTTAAGCAAATGCAGTTTGATAGTCAAAACTTGTTTCCCTTCGACAGGAAAAATGTAAGTCAAATGTGAGGGAAAATATATGGAAATGTAAATGATTTTTTTTTTGTATTTTGGGCCTGTGACACGTTTCAGGAAAGCTTTTGGGTTTGGTTGAGAAAATAAAACAAGTCTCCCGGTTACTGGTTGGTCTGTTGTTTGTTGGGCGTTGAGGCCCACATTATACCAGATAAGCGATCGAAAAGAAACCTGTTGAAGAAAATGCAGCCATAGCCAGGCGCACGATGATCATGCCCTCGATGCGTGATCGTCGATAGTCGCCTCGATCTCCGATCCGAATCGAACTGAGTTGGGTGATGGTGCGATCTCCGGCATTATAGCCGGCATTTAATAAACACACACAGAGAGAGAATGAGAGTACCGGGGCCAGTCAGGGGCCATTTCAATTCTTGGCTATTTGTACTTACCATATATATTTAGTACTCGATGCGTTCCCGCTGACTCTCCTTCAATTTGCCGACCAAATAAATTCAGCTCAGTGTGTGGGGTCTGGTCCGGGTCCTAACTGACGGAAATTTTTTGTTAGTTGATTTATTTTGGTCTAGGCAACAGCCAAAAGCCATTAAAAAAGCGAGCCCCCCTTACCGAGCTGATTAGCCAAATTAGTCACAATATCTTATCGATTTTATGGTCTGCTTTCTAAAGAGAACTTTTTTTTTAGATAGATTGGAGGGATGTAGAGTGATATAAAGGAGAAAAGGGGGAAAAGTTATTAAAGAAAGTGTCAAGATAATAAAGAATGTTAAAAGATAAAGTTTAGGTGGTAATATTTAGAAGTTATGAAGTGATAACTAATATTGGGGTAAAGGAAACCCCATCTGGAAAGTTTTTAAATATTTTTTCCCACTTAGTAATCCTTAACTTCCACATTTTTGGATTAAAAACTTGATGTCAATTTATTTTATCATATTTTTACCCAACAAAAAATCCTATATAAGTTCAAAAATTCCAGAGATTTTCCGTATTTCATTTTCCAAAAAATATCTGAAATTTTCGTTGACTATTTCTTCCTACATTTTGAATCACGAGTTATCCTATATATCAGATATATCTTAGCGGGGTGTGTTTTTATTTACATTTAAGCCAAAGACTCGTGGGAAGAGTCGCCCAATAAAAGAAGAAAGAAAAGCAAAAAAGAAAGGAAAAGCAAAAAGTAGGCGTGTTTTACATATAGATTAAGGCAAAATCTTTGGCAAAGCCGTACGTGACTGCTAAAAATAAAACCAAAAAAAAAAATATACAATACACATTACACTTTTTATGACGCAGGGAATTTTTCGGGAACCGCAAATGCTTTTGGAGGAAAATGAGCAAAACCTAGCAAAAGAAAAGTTAGTTCTTACCAAGTTACGGGTTGTTAGAAAATGTCAAATAATTGGCAGTATGATCTTCCTATCTGGCAGGAGACTTAAAAAAAAAATGCATTTGGCAAAGACGCAGTTAGCTAAACTAAAAGTCAAAACAAGCCAATAAAATGAAACTGTTCAGCATAAAAATAGAAATCTGCTGAAAGCAAAGATGCCGAGTCAATGACCATTAGAATAAAAAAATACATATTTCCAAATTTGGTAGACAGGGGGGGGGTCAAGTCAAACTGATAAAGCTCGGGTCAAATCTACATTTAATATATTTCAATAATTTATAATTTGATTATAATATATAATTGTTTTTTTTACTTACTTTTTTAGCAGCCGTGGCCCCAAAAAGCATGTGATCTTTGCCGATGATGAGGGTCTATCGCTAACCGAGGTTCGTGTGATGTCCGAACCCTCGAATGTGCCGCCCTATTGGAGCATGAAGTTCTTGGAGCAGATAACACAGGGCCTGGTCAGTCCACATCCACCAGATCAATGGACCGTGGACTTCAAACAGCCAGCTTCAGATTATCTAACATTTAGGTGGGCTATAAAAACTATTTTTTAAACTTATAAAATTTTTCTAAGATTTTACCTTTACCGTTTACAGACAAAAGATAGATCGGGACTTTGTTTCCCTTGAGAATGTGATCGTTAAGGATGAGGAATCGATTGTGGTGGGCACCATTAAGGTGAAGAACATTGACTTCCAGAAGGAGATCATTGTGCGTGTGACCTGGGATGATTGGAAGAGCCAGCAGGATATCTTCTGTACATTTGCCCGGGCCTATGGACCGACTACATGTGCCCACGTAGTCTTCGATACATTCTCCTTCAAAATCACCTTGCCACCATCCTCTAAGCGCCTGGAATTCTGCATCTGCTACCGCACCAACGATACAGAATATTGGGATAATAATGATGTGAGTTTTTTTTTGATTTTAATTTTTACTAAGAAAGATTTTATAAAGAAATTTGTTTTCTATTACAGGGTAAAAACTATACCATTAGCAAGCGTTCGCCCTTTTATTACAACGCCTTGTCGCCCTATGATAAGGGTCAGAATCGCAACTCTAGCCAGCAAATAAGGTCCACCCTGACCGATGCCTTGGCCAAGGTGCACGACCAAAATGGGTGGCATCAGGAGCCACATACGCCATATTGGTGAAATTGCCTGGTAAAGGGATTGGATTTTCCCTAAGCCAAGCAATGGAATATAATTTTCTCATTTAGGCCACATGAACAGAAAGAAACAGATTTGGAACAGATTTAAAAAAACAGATTTTAAAAAACAGTTTTAGTGACAGCGAAAGCGAAAGCGAAAGAGAGAGAGTCCAAAAGATTTTACCACTAACAAAACTTTTTGACCTAAGCTTATTACCTGGTACAAATATCCCAATTTGAAAAGTGCCATTGACTTGAGGGATTACCCAAGTTTAGAAGGGCTTATTAACTACTTTAACTAGGCAAAAGCCCGAAAATTGTATGTTTTGTCTTTTACTCAACTTGATGGAATTTCTAAATGTATAACTTTCTAAAATGTTTTAATGTTCGATTGTAAAGAATTTTTGGAAAAAGAATGCTAGATTTTATATGTTTTACCTGTGTATGCCTGTGTGATTGTCTACATTTATATAACTGATATTAGGTTTATGTGAAGAACTAAAAACGAAAAGAAAAGAAAGAAAAACTATAAAAAAGAGGAGATGAATTTTAAGGCGTGAACCATCCAAGCAAACCATTGTTTCGAAATTTTCTGCAAAAGCAAAATAAAGAGAAAAACAAAACATAAAACCCATAAAACAAATATGAAAACTGAAACCAGAAAAACAAACAACAAAAAATTGTAGTTCCTAAGTTTATTGTTTTTTTTTTATTATTTTTCATTATTTTTTTAACTCTCTTTTTCATTTCATTCAAACAATTTTATCTTTTTTTTTGGTTATTTGAAACGCTAAGACTGAAATGGCTTGTTATGGAGAAGAAAACACGTCCTGCAATATATATTATATAATAAAATAAAATAAAATAAAAATAAAACAACAAAAATTCGCATCATCACATTTACAGACAACAAAAATTTTGTGTTCTCATTGTTATTGTGTGTGATCCAGATCCCCGACTATATACTATATATATATATATATTATACACCTAACTAGTTTCTAAGTGATTTGTAAATACAGAAGCAAATGCAAACAATATACCAGAAAATTGCCTGTTAAATACATTTATACAAATATGAATTTAGTTATATAACGATGCCTAGTTTGTAGTCCTTAGAGGTTATTTAGTTAGTAAGTTGCCCCCTCCTACACCTCCCACAACTGACCTAACGTGAATGAATCAACTATATATGTGCCTATATATATAAAGCGTACTCTATAATTATTTAGTTTCTAACGAACTTATGACACAACGAGCCACTATATTGTCTTATTCAGCTCAATGCTCATAAACAAAATAAATATTTTTGAAAAAAAAAACCAACTTTTGAGTTATTAATTGAAGTTGAAGCTTGGAGATCTGGCTTGAAGTTGATAAAATAAATATTTGTTTAATTCGAGTAAGTAAAACTGAGAACTATTCAGATGTGTATAAAGCAATAGGGACCTTTACCCTAATAAATAGTCATACTGGAAGGTTTACAAAATTACTTACTATTACTTGGCTATATGGAAAATATTCTACGTTTTAGTTTTAATAATGGGTAGTCGTACCTCCCACCTTCCTTCTCAACTAATGACTAAGTTGTAAACTAACAATATAGACAGGAAAACTTGTCTTATAAATCTACTTGAGTTTTTTTGTAGTGTCACAAAGGTTTAACATTACTTAGTTTAAAGGCTAGCTAAACTATCTCAAATCAACCTTCTCCTCAATATAAATTTAAATTGGAAAAACATTAAAGGTTAAATCTTTAAAATTTAATTACATTCACAAATCGTATAAAAAAGATTTAGGAACTAAAGTAAAACTAGGAAACTAGCACCAAAAACTATCAAGATTCGAAATCTTCCCATAAAACTTAGTCATTATAGATGATGCTATGCTTAACTAACTTACGTTTAGCTCCCCTAGCAAAATCAAAGCCCCATAAAAACCCATTTTCAATGTCAGGAAAAGCTTTTATATTTAATCATAAGGTTATCTCAACAATGTTTCTGACGTAATCGTTAGCAAAACCCAACCAGTAATAGAGCAAGATTAGAAAATGCATTTTGGTAGTGTTTTTTTATATTTTATAATTTAATTTATTCAGAGTGCTTTCTTGGGTAGCGGGTCAGACAATTGAAACAGCATTAATATCATATTCGCATGTATGGCCATGTGGGGGGCGTGGGGCAGCGGGTTTATGCGGAGAGGGGGAGAACAATAGGGCTGGCCATCGAAGATACAACATACGGACATACTTTCCAGCGCAAACTAGACACACATTGGGTTAAATATATATATATATATAGTACATAGTATTAAGAATCATAGCTAATGGAATTGAATACTTTGAACTTGAGTGTACGTAAGACAGAATGTTTAGAGATGTTTAAAGTTAAGAAAGATTTGTCTATATAAAAAAAATAGTTTCTTGTTAAATAGCTGTGTCAGAGAAATGCGTAGAGTATGGTTCTGGAATGTACATGTGCAATGGCACACACGCAACATTGATGTATTGTTGAGAAGAAATCAGCTGTACAGATATCGAAAAAAAATTCGTTAGAAAGTAAAAGTATGTTGCTCCTGGGGTCTGCCCACAATTGCGCCAACTAATCAACTCTGGCCTTAAGTTAACCAATATTGAACTAGCCCATTTAGTGCTGCTTGGCCTTTAGGCTGGCTGGCATCTCTGGTGGTGGTGGACGGGGAATACCCAAAGCGACCTTGACACCATCATAAATGAACCACTGCAGAGCAGTCAATGTACCGATCATAATGATACGTGGAGTCAATCCATTCCACATGCCACTGAAGCCCAGAGACTTGGCCACGCTAACAGCGCTGGCTCCCTTGGCCTGGTTCAGCTTGGAGACCACAACATCAGCGGGATGAGAGACAACAGCGCAGAACACACCAGCGATGTATCCAGCAGCGAAGGTAACGACCAATTGCTCGCCCTTAGAGCAGTCAGCACGAGGCTTGGGCACCACATACCTAGGAAAAATTAGATCATAAGTATTGATTTGAAATAGGGTTTGGGTATGGCTTGCACTGTCTTTAGTGCGTTATCGATTTGCTTTAGTTTTTACATTGTGACTTTTACACATTTTCAATTAGAATTTAAAAGTTTTCTAAACTATAAAACTTAAGCAGTGACTTAGTGTCAGAAACACAGACTAATCCCGTTTAGAAAAAGTAAAAATAAAAGTGGAAAAACAAATCGAAGAGCTACAACTTTTAAAAGTACGATAAGCGCTTCTTATCTTTTAAGAAATTGTATAACTTTGATTTCTGGCAAGCCGCTAAAAATTCCTTTTCACATAAAGAATAATTTAATTAGACCTTTAGAAGACCTCATCTACTCAATTAGCATTACAAATCCGAAATATTTAAGATTAAATGGCTTTAAAATAATCATTTTATGGTTAGCCAAAGCAAATTATCATTCCATAAGTCATGGTAAAAGGCTTTAGCCTTGTTAAAGAAATATACTAACTATATTCCAGTTAATACAGGCAAGGCATTCATAAAGATAAAGGTCTTGTAAAATATACAGATAGCTATATCAGTCTGTGACTTCAAGATAAGCTATTTCTGACGTCACATCTTACGAGTATTATAAAAAACCATTGCAAATCCTTAAAGACATTTTCAACTTACTTGTAGAGCAGCTCCACGGTACGCTCGAAGCAAGCGAACTTCATCATGGTGTATGGGATCTGTCGCATCCACAGAGGAACCAGACCCTTGTAGAAGGCAGTTACACCCTCCTCCTTCAGCATCTTGGGCACAGCCTCGCGGAAGTTGTTGGCATATCCAGGAATGGTCTGGATCTTGACCTTGGCGGCCTCGAATGGCGACAGAGCAATATCAGCGAAGAATTCAGCCGAAGCGGAAGCAGCCAGATACAAGGATGTACGGTACAGGTAGGCATTCTCCTCACCAATAATATCAGCGTACTTTACTTTGAACAGCTCGTACAGACCGAACTTGCAGAGACCCTATTAAAGAATATAAACAAAGATTAAATTAAAACTTGAAAGTCATAATCCCCTTAACTAGCTTTGAATTATAGAAATAGATACTACTTGATATCCACAAAGATTGACTGCTAGAAGCCAGAGCTTCCATCGTCTGAATTCCATCAATAAATCCGATCGATCCGATATCACTTCTTTTTGAACCCGGAATCTAATTAGGGTCATCTGACCCAGTCACGAGCATATAATCCGCTTCCAAACACTTATGTAACCCCAAAAAGAAAAATCCAATTCTCACCTGTGCCGAGTAGCCCAGCAGGGTTGGGAACCAGCCCTTGGCCAAACCACGAGTGCCTTCCTCCGCCACAGTGACCTTGAATCCATGGAACAGGTTCTTGTACTTGGCCTGGTCGACCTGCAGACGGCACTTGACCAAATCCAGGGGTACGACAAAGGTGTGGGTGGTGCCGCAGCTAAGGATGCCACCGATACCGCACAGGGCAAAGTACTTAGTGCTGCCGAATTCGCATGAGTCCTGCTGGTTGGCTACTGGAGTAGCGGCAGCGGCAATTTGGCGACCCTCAACCGGCTGGGGATCCACCACAGGGGCAGCGGCATCGCATCTTGCGGACGTCAGGGGAGTGCGGAATGGCGAGTTCCGGGCAGTTTCAAAGAAGCTGGAGAACATCTTGATTTCTGTTCTTGTTGTTTGGTCGGCTGTAAGTATATATGTAGATCATCTATTAGTTACGTATGTACCGCCAGACATGTGCTTTATCTAATTATATATATATATATATATATAGCTAGGTAATCAGCTGCTTTTCGCTTTTATAGGTTACATAACGGCGTGCCAAGAATTCCGCGCACCATAGATTTACAGCGCAAAATTTACCCAAATCAAAAAAAAAATCAAATAATCACCAGAATTTTGACAACTTTAAGGGAACTCTATTAAAGGGCTCCGCTTACTTAGATTTATAAATTGACTGTCTTATGCAATTTTTCGGTCTCGATTTTCGCACTTACTCTTCGTCAGCAACGTTTCACGGCTCGTAGGCGGGGATTCAAAGAATGAGGGGGGCGGACAGCTGCCCAAACATTTGCGAGGAATACCAAAATGTTTCACTACGGTTTCTAGACAAACTTAGAATTTATAGCCTGGTCACACCTTTTATGCCTGGATAGGGAAATTTGCAAACCCTTGACTCACACCGTGGTGAAATACTTTGGTAGCACTTGCCCTGGACTAAAACCAGTGCTCGTTCTCTTAAGGAAATTATTGCACATTCATTTTCACGATCGTTTGTTCACTTTACCTTTATTATATAAATAACAACTTTCAATACAGTGATCCCTTTGCTATTCCCTTATATATTTTTTTTTATTAATTTGTTAAAATCAAACACACAATGTGCCAAGAAAAATAGATAAAAATAAATATATGCAACGATTTTCCATAAACTTCATTTGATAATCCCTTATTTGTTATGCAAGGACAGGGTTTTAAGTTCTTGTATTCCATTTTATATTTAACTCTGCAAGTGAAACAAAATTCGCCTTGATGTTCCTCATATAATAGAATTTGACAGCCCTTTCTTGGTGACCAAACGCAGCATATTTTAGCATGCAAATTTTCTGAAAATTTATGAAAATTAATTTAGATTTTTAAAGAATATCAACTTTTTTGATCATAATACCGATTACCATTCCGGGTGGAATGCAAACTTCCGTATTTGTAGTTGTTTCGGGAAATTCATTCAGTTCATCTGGCTTTTGTCGATGAAATTCCCCGTCATAACAGCTATATCCTTCTTCTTCAATTCTACACAATTCTTTGCTTTCTTCTCTACAGTCCACGCACTTTCCTTTCGAAATGTCAAAAATATTATTTGAAGGAATCATAGTCGCATTATTCGTATCTGCATTTGTTGCTAAGAGGACGTCAACGAGTGTTAAAAAGAAATGTATGAAATAATAGGACATGAATTTCATTTGAAAAGTTTTAAGTTTAAAAGTTTTACAGTATTTGAATAGAGTTCTATGATAAAAATACTAACAAAGCTACTGATCTGGAACAGGGGTGCTCAAAATCGCTTTACGGCAGAGCATTTACTAACACAAACAAAAGAAAGCGTGCACATAATTAGTGACGTTATTGTATTGGTTTGCAGCTGTGCACTGAGAGAAAAAATAATCATCCCTCCCTTTACTGAACCGCCAAGTGCGAAATATGTATACTCTAAATTGCGAACAGAAGGTATAAGGAATGAATTCCAGTGCAAGTGTTAGAAGATGGTTTAGGAAAAAACAAAAACAAAATATATTGCGTTTGGTGACGGAATGAGGCGGAAAGAGGAAAACGAAAAATTGTTAGTGTAATATCGCCGCAAGCACTCAGAGCATAGGCGTTGAGAATCCCTGTTCTAGAAGGTAAATATGATCTTGTAAGGGATAAAATATATCCCTCTAACGGTGATCTAGATAATTACCTTGTTTGATGCAGAAAAAGCTGCGATCAGCTGATTATCTTTGGCTCTCTTTCTCAGAGCTTTCAGTCTGGTTTCCCGTTGACTTTGCGCTTCTGTCTTTTACTTTACACACAGTCTTTGCTTTTGCTTGTGCTTTTTGGTTTTGTTGTTGTGTTTGCTCGTTCGTGGTCTTCTGTGAAGTGAAGTTCCGTCGTCAGTTTGAGTTTGGTTCGTAGCGCGTTCGCACACGCGCGCTCTTTATAGTCGACCATATACAAATATACTAGTTTGTTCCCCAACCGATCAGAGATCTCAGATTCAAGATCCGATCTGACCGTTGCCGTGCCTCTCGCCGTATTTCGCGCTCTCTAATCAGTTGGCCAACGTAATTTTTGGGTCTGCGTAGCGTACTTCGCGGCTAATTTCCAACTTAAAAAAGTGAAAAAAAAACAACAACAACAACAACAACAAAATCTGGCAAATAATTGAGTAATTAAAGTTAAACGTAAGGAGAGCTGTCTCGGCCAAGTGTTTTGTGTTTTGTGCGCTTTTCTGTGTAACGGTGCTGCTAACTGAAGCTAAAATCTAAAAAGCAAAACAAAAATAATGATTACCGCAAAGTGTTTGAGTAAATTGATTGTGGAATCGTTTTGAAAGCTCGCCAGTGGATGCGATAAACTGATCGATTTGAGTTTAGTTTAAGACGAGGAGAGGAGGAAGCATAAATCGATAAAGCCAACTGGGATTTGCTTGGCATGTTTATATACATTTTCATAAGCGGAAAAGAAAGTTTGATTTAGATGAATCGGAAAGTGATAAAAAATGAGAGATATGGATTTGAAGTGGATTAATTATTAATATTAAAATGAAATCATGAAAATCACTTTTAATTTTTATAAAAGAATTTAAAATATATACCCCATAAAAAAGAAGAAATTCTTTAGGTACTTCTTATCTCATTCTTGTCTGTGGTTTAAGTTACCAGTTTGAAAAGTTGTTTAGTGAAAGATTTTGGGAGTTGATAAAATAACTTGTAAGAAATGATTAAAATTGGTAGGAACATTGATCAACCTAAGTGATCTTTCTTTGCATCGTATCGCATTTCCAATGACCTCATAAGATTATCTCATTTTTACAAGCAATATATAGCATGACAGCAGCTATAAAATATCTATAGATGAGCTATCTTATTAAAATTTTAATTTAAAATATGAAATGAAAAATATATAAAAAAGTTCATATTTTAAACCTTGCAATTTAGATTTCTCTAAGCTGGTTTTTTTGACATTTCCACTTTTTTGAAACTGCAAATTCCCAAACTGAAATTAACCAAAAACGAAAATCACTAAAAATAATACACATAAATTTCCAATTAATCTCCCATAAATCTTAAAAAAAAATACGCTGATTTTCTTTGTAAAATTCATGGAATTTCTTCAACCATTAAAAAAAGAAGTGGTCCCTAAATAAAAATTGCAAGAAAAACTAATCAACACCAGTTGCGACTAGTTAACCAGGCAGCAAAAATTGGCAACTTCCTTCAGTTGGGCGCCAAGTCATTAGCTGCCCCCCCCTAAGCCCCCCTCTTCAATCCACCTAGCTTACCCTCCTTTCCCCCTGTTGGGGGGCCCACTCAAAGTACCGCTATGACTAGACAGGCCTTGTCCATATATTTCTTTATTTTTTTTCGCATACGAATATATATGCAACCATTAGCCACCGCATCAACAAACGAGACGCCACAAACACACTCTGATCTTTTGAGGCACACACATGGATACTGCGAGGAGGATCGGGTGGAAGGGAGGGAGGGGGAAGGGACTCGGTGACGTTTGCTTTGGGGCCCCTTCACTTTTTTGTTGTTGCACGGAAAGAAAATTTTTGGGTTTTTCATATAAAAATATTAAAAATGTGAAAAATCAGGGAAAAAAATAACGTAAAATTTTTTTTTTAATAAAAATAAAACAAAAAAATGTTTTTGTTTTATAATTTTTTTTAAGTTTTAATTTTAAACATATCTTAATTAATTTTTAAAATATTTTTCTCCGTGCAAGTGGTTGTTTTTTTTTCGTGGTCGGATGAAAAAGTTGCCGCGGCAAGTGCAATTCGCGGTTCGCCGTTCGCGATTCGCATTCCGCTGGCCGAAAGTATCTTTGGAGTTTTGCATCTTGTGGATGTCTGTCGCGCGCTTAACTGTAAATTGAGGCATGTGCCGCACTCTCTGTATACCATCCATCCTTCTCTAACACTATACATATGCCCTCTCTTTCCCTGTCTGTCAAGTTCAATGTGCGTTGACAATTTTCCATTTCCAAATGGGCGACGTTTTCTTGTACTTTCTCACACACATCGCTTTGCCATTGTGCCTGCCCAACTGTGCGTGTATTTTAATTTATTTTAAATCGAACGGCAATTTAAATTTAAGAAAAATCAAACAAAAGGTAGTGGAATTTTTTTTTAGTATTTTCTTTTTGCTCATTCAACCCGGAACTAAAGTTATAGAGGAGTACCCGAAATCAGACAGTCGCCCTGCCGATCGAGTCGTGTGGGGATGTTTTTTTTTCCAAAGCAATGTATCTACGTATCTATGTATCTTTTTATCCTCAACGCAAACGCAATGCATAAATCAACAAACGGAAAGAAGAAAAAAATCTCTGCGCAAGCTTCGGTTTTTTGTTAGTTTTGTGAAAGCGCAAGTCGTAGCGTAATTTTTACACTTTTACCAAAGAGAAAGAAGACGAAAAAAAAAAAAAAGAAGATACATAGATACTCTTTACATACGGCTCATAAGCATCTTTTCTCTATTACCCACCGACATACACGATTTTCGTTGGCCCCTCCGTTGTTTGTCTTTAAGCCGCTTAATTGAAAGTCTTGGCCTGACTTATGACTAGTTGGAAAAGTCAAATGTAAACGAAAGAAGATGGTAAATGGTAAATGCTTTTCCAGCTGGCTCAAAGTGAAATCAAAGGAGCGATGAAAGATAATATATAATTTTATTGATCAACTTGATTGACTGAAAAAGGGAAAGCTTTCAAAACGCCTAACAAGAAGTTCTTAACTGTTTTCATATAGTGCACTAAACCATAACTAAACTAAAGTGATAGGCTAGAAATTTTCAAAATATATAAAAGTTAATCAAAGTGTTTAGGCTAAAAACGAAGCCTATTTTTCCTAACAGTGCATGTGCTCAAAAATCAACAAAAACAAACTGAAACCACTGAGCCAGCAGACTCTACTCAAAAGGTAAGATTGAAAATTTATTCTAATTATAATTTCTGCCCGTTTTAGTTTTTTTTTTATTTATTTTTTTGCATATCCATTTGTTAACTCGTTTGCTATGTCTATTAACGGCATTCATCGCCCTGGGTTTGTGAGCTCATCTCATCGCATCCGAAAGATATTCATTCTCAAAGCCCAAAACTTGTTCGGCGGTGATTCATTTTTCACAGCTCGGTTTCTTGATTTGTTTATTTACAGTTGTGATATCTTTTTTTTGCGCTTTTATTTCTTTTTGCTTTGCATATTTTGACATGCAACACAGACACGTTCAAATATTTAATCAGTTAACCGTTTCGGTTTAGTTTATTTAACAATTCCGCCCGGCCAAGCTGGCATTGTTGTTAACTTTCCAAGTCGCCGCACATCTTTTCACCCACCTGTCTGTCGGCTTCCAATGTCAAGGTTGCCATTGTTGATGTTTTGCTAACAAAAAAAAACAAAAAAAAAAAAAAAAAATAAAATAATAAAAATAAATAAAATTATAATTAAGTAGACAATGTACGAGTATAGCCGGCTTGTGGCCGCTAATTGGAGCTCAACACTTCTCAAGTGGAACGAACGCCCCGTCGTAGAGCTATTTTTTCGTATAATTTGTAATTGCTACGTTTTTCGGACAAGCTACCAAAGATATTTTACAAAAAATAAAAAAAAAAATTAAGTGTGGCAAGCAATTAGTTGAGGCTTAAGCTGGCTATTTACAAAACGTAGGCAGATTAATGGATGAAGATGATGATAAAGATGTGAAGATTGGACATGAGCTGAGGCTTGCCTTTTGGCCAAGTTGTAGGCTTAAAGCAGGTAGATAAGGTATTTTCTGGGATGCTTTATGGGTTGATTATCTGGTAAACAGAAAGAAATTTATGTTATGATTAAAAATATTTACTGCCCAAAATAGTTTTTAATGGCATTTCCTTTCCCTTGACTAAAAAATGTAAAATATTTACCAAACTCATTTAAAATTTTTATTATATTAAAATCTGAAAACAGACCTAACCCTGAGCTACTCTTAAAACCTTAATATAACCACAAAAAAAACTTAAAATAAATCCATAAAACCCATCACCAAGTTTCAAGGTTATGATTAAGTATCGATAATTGTGTCAACGGCCATCAGGAAAAGCATCTATCAACATCATCTCATGGAGCCGGCAGACTCTAACTTATTATTAGCCATATAAAAGTCTATAAAATTTTTGATCAATTAATAAGTCATTAGGGCAAAGTTTTAGTTCTAGCCTAGAGCAAAAAATTCTAACATTTATCAATACCGTTTGCTATTCTTTTGGTTGGGTTTCTTTTTCTCTAAGAATTTCGCTTCAGGCCAAAAGATGCGGAACCGTTAAGCATTTCACCTACAGCTAGTCACAGCGACGAGAATGCAGAATGGGAAGAAAAAAAAAAGACGATCATAAATTTGACTTTTTAATGTTAATAAAACATTTTTTACGAGTCTTTTATGTGTGAAAATTACGCAGAAGGGCATTAAAATAAACGAGACCACGAGCTGTGAAACAGTTAGACAGCTGGCAGGTGCAAGCCAAGTTAATATAATACGTCATTATGGTAGCTTCTTTAGACCGCACCTATAGTACATAAACAGCATTTCTTTTTGATCTTCAACTCTCTTTTGGAGTTCCCTTAGGAGTGCATTGAAAGAAAAACTTTAAGTTTGATTTTTAGAAATTATTATCAAAGTGTTAGATCTCAGACTTAGGAAAACTTTGGTGGGAAAACCTTTATAGATCATAGTTATACTTAAAGAGTTTCCAAAAAATCGTATAAAATTTCTCTCAGTGCACTTAGTACCATCACCAGATCATGACTCGAAGAAATGTGCGACTTTGGAGTGAGATGACACCGTGTAAATAGCCGCCGGGTGTGGAGGAAACTAAACCGAAACTACTGAATAACAAGTGTAGAACAATCAGAGGCGAGTGGCTAGAAAAACTGTCCAAGTAGCTGGAACGGAGGTCAGTGAACTCCTCAACGGACGCTTCAAATACACTTTACACCAAGGCATTAACAAAAGCTAGTAGTTTCCCCCTGTCTCCCCCCTCTCTTCTTAACCAATAGCCATGATAGAGCGGTATTTAGTTGACCAGTTTTATATTTTCTTTTTCGTGAATGGCTTTTATTTAAGTTGGCCTGAAACTGCCAAAAAGAAGTAATGGTTGAAAAGGCATAAAACCTGCTAATATGGGTTATTTTGAGGTTTTTATTTTGTTTGCCTTTTGGTATTTCTTTTATTATGTCACTTGTTAATGAGGATATGTGGGTGCGAATTAAAACCAGTTAGTATGAGTCAGTTTTGGTAAGAGGCATAAGTTTTGAGAGGGGAGGAATAGCAGCTTAAGACCTCATCTCGTAAGGATCTCTTAAAGAAACTTTTAAACTTCATTGCTTGATTTCATTATATTTATTTCAAATTTTTAACTAAATCTCATTCTAAAAATAAAGTTTTATTTTTGTAAGTTAAACCTTTTAGTTTCTGCTTTTACCTACAAATATTTCGCTTATATGAGTTAGAACTTCAGTCACCGAATTGCCTTAAAGAACTCAAACTCTTTTTATACATTTTCCTTACTTTTCACTGCATTGCTGTCAAGCTCAGCATTACTAAGCATTCCCGAACAAATTGCCATTATAATTGATAACATTCTGTGAAATTAGCTGAAAGAATGTCCGGTAAGTAAACCGCTGCCAATAACTGTAACTGTAACCAACGTGACAAACCTCGGCCATCAATGTGTACGTCCCCATTTTGCCGCCAAACTCAGCCACTTTGCTGACCCACTCTCAGGCACTGCCACACCGTTGGGGAGCATCATCATCATCATCATCATCGAGGAAAGAGATTCGAGCCATACTATATACTACCATGTCATCAGAAGACGTTGATGGTTAATCGTCCAGTGTTCTCATTACGTTGGCCGGCAATTTCCGCACCTACTTAGCCGACTCGCATGTCTAACCGTAAATCCCTATTGACCCCCATTTCCCAACCGTAATGCTTGACCACACACATCCTCTTGCACTGCACCGAGGGCCGATTTGTAACTTGATCAATGTGGCAATTGTTTCCTCTTCTTCTTTTTCTTCTTGTTGCACGCCACTTGGCCTTTTCATTAGCTTCAATTTCAATTTGCTATTTGCTATTTGCAATTTGCGCACCAAACTCTGTTTTCTGTTTCTGTTTTTTTTAGCCATTTTTAACTCGACTCGGGCCAAGCAAAACAAAAAAAAAAAAAAAACTTGTTTATGGCTCCTACAAGAATGTGGAAAGCAAGAAAACGAAACGAAAAAAAAAGATATAAACAAAACTGGGTTAAAATTGTTAGACAACCTGAAGTTGCAGTTGCCGTTTCTGAAATATTGCCTAGGTATGGGGCCTGCTATCGGGCCTGGTCTCTAAGCTATGGCCTCGCCAATCTGCAAACTCCAAACCTCGTGAATTCTGTTCGGATTGCAGGCAAACACACATCGATGGCTAAGTCTATATAGAATGGAATGTTAACTGGATGTGGGAAGATCGGAATTGAGTTTGATTAAGTTTTGCATTTTATGGAAATATTTAAAGGATTTAATATTAAGCTTGTGGTCAAGATTTTCATAAAAAAAAAGTTACTAGAAAATTTGTAAAAAATGCAGAATGTTTTTTATTTACTAATTTTGCAAGCGAAAAGAAGAAGGAAATAGGTTTAGGAGGCACTTTACTGGTATCAAAAGTCTCTTGAAAGGTTTAAAAAGCACTTTATTGGTATCAAAAGTCATTTCATAGGTTTAGGAAGCACTATACTGGAATTAAAGGTCAACTAAATGGTTTAGAAAACATTTTACTCGTGTCAAAATGCTTTTGAAAGGATTTGAAGGGAATAGGTTTAAAAGGGTTTAGAAAGCACTTTACTGGTGTCAAAGATCTCTTGAAAGGTCTAGAAAGCATTGTATTGGTATCAAAAGTCATTTTATGGATTTTCAGATTTTTCGTAAAATTTTATGATGTTACCCCTTTCCAAAAATGCGAAAATCGCTCTTTCCCGATTTGAGTCTCAAAATATCAGTATTTTCTTTACTACACCGCCAAAGATGATCGTATCATGAAATGTAATACCTTGTTGAGTTCGTATTTAAATTCCCCGTCGAACAGTGTACCACACTCAAAAAGTTAATTTTTTCAGATTTTTCGTAAAATTTTATGATGTTACCCCTTTCCAAAAATGCGAAAATCGCTCTTTCCCGATTTGAGTCTCAAAATATCAGTATTTTCTTTACTACACCGCCAATGTTGATCATATCATGGAATGTTATATCTTCTTGAGTTCGTATTTAAATTCCCCGTCGAACTGTGTACCACACTCAAAAAGTGAATTTTTTCAGATTTTTCGTAAAATTTTATGATGTTACCCCTTTCCAAAAATGCGAAAATCGCTCTTTCCCGATTTGAGTCTCAAAATATCAGTATTTTCCTCATTACAAAGCCAAAGATGATCGTATCATGGAATGTTATATCTTGTTGAGTTCGTATTTAAATTCCCCGTCGAACTGTGTACCACACACTTAATGCAATAAGCACAAGCTGAAGTTTTTCTTCTTCCTGCTATTAATATATATAATCACAAAATAAAAGTAAATTAAACTTTAATTCTGCTTGAAAAGTTTTAAGGGTAAACCAACTTCCAAAAAAACCCCCCAAAAATCTACTCCTGTTGAAACCTAAATCCTAAATTTTTTACCCCTTTCTTTCCCTCGTTACCAATGACTTTAGTCTTTGATTCATAGCCACTGCACTTGCGCAAAGCCCAGCAAGACAGAAGCCCTACAACAGTTAACCGAAACTCGTCTTGGGTATGGTCAGTAATGAAATAAAGCCGAAACGTACTGAACTGAACTGAGCCAAGCCAAAAGACAACTTATATTGGCGGCTACTTAGTATGCCCGGCCCGAGTTCGACACTTACTAGGCGAGTGAGAAGGCTGAAAAGGTGCAACCAAGAGACGACGCAACGTTCGGTTTCAATTTGGGCTATGTTGTTGGCTTATTAATTACCTCACCGCACAATTGCGTGGCACACACACACACACACACATACAAAACACCCACCAGACGAGGGGGGGTTGGCGGTTTCTTACCGCTTTTGTAGAACCCACAAAAGGCGTTGGACGGTGGCGGGTAATACGAGTAACGACTTTTTCTGGCCCGTAAATGGAGACCCATGCTGATGAAGTCAACAGCCTCAACCAGTTTGAAGTTTAATTTAGCTTTTGCTGTGTGTATTTTTGTTTTATATTTTTTATTTTTCTATTATTTATTTTATATATTATTTAAATTGTATTTTGATTGGCTGCGTGGCTTTCCATAAACAAATGAAGAGCTTCGAGAAAATTGAGAGTGACTTTGGTTCGTTATTTCTTTTTTAGCAAACTCGTTTTTGCATATTTCTCAGCCGCTTGCTGTCGGTTACTTTCAAATGTCAAACGAAGTTGAAGGTGGTCCACAATGATATTTGATTTTTTTCCCCTTATACTATCCTACTCGAATACCATTATATGATTTATTTTGAGTCATGTTGAAAACGAACGCAGCGCACGGCGGCGCCTTGAGAAAACAAAAGACTTGAGCAAAAAACTTGTTTTTAAAGAAATATTTTTGCTATTAGGAATTCTATATAAAAAATTCCCTTAGCTTAACAATTATATTTATTAATTATGAAGTCATTAAAGGAGGCTTACATTATAAATTAAAAAGTTTTTAAACATAAAACTCTAAATGAAAGATCTTAAAGTTGTAGAAAACCAAACAAGCAAAGTAAAAGAGGATAACCAGTGAAAACTTCATAACTTGTTTCCATCCAAGCTAGACAAAAAAATGCATATTAAAAACGCATTAAAATCGTCAGCTATAAACATTTATCATACCTTCACTTACAATTCAATTAAATTCAATGCACGATGCTCAGCAAAATCCACAGATGGCTAACAACAACACAATTCCAAAAGCCAATTCCGCAAAAGTCATAAGCAAAATCGTTGGCAACGTCTCGGGGTGAAACTTAATGAAGCCTGAGAAAGTTGCTCAGAAGCTCTACTCAGGTGACAATCATTAAAATAAACCAACAAATAACTGGCTAACTAACAAAATACTAACAATAACTAATAAACGCAAAAAAACAAAAAGTTAAGAAATGCGATAATTGTTAACAAATTGCCGAAACGACGAGCACATGCCAAGCATGCAATGCCTTTCTGGCTGCCTTTCATGCTGCCCACTAACTAATTGAATTTTCATTTATATTTTTTTTTGGTTAGCTTTTTAAGAACTTTTTAAGTCTCAGTGAAGTTTTCCAATTGAAAATTCTCGTTTTGTCTTAGTTGGCTGGCTGTTGACTGCAGCAGCTTCTCCGACTTCTTCTTGGCAAATGACCCAGTTTAATGCAAGTGGAACGTGGTCCGAGCCAACAACTGCAACGCGTCAAGAGCTCTTGACCATAAATAGCCAGCCGTAGATCTCTAGACAGTTGGCAAAAAGTATGAAATAGGAGAGGAACTGGTGGGTTTAGGAAGGAGTAGAAGATGGGATACTCTTTAAAGGGGCTAAGGAAAGGATTTAAAGATGGTTTTTGGTAAGGAAAATATTAACTTAAAGTTTAGTTTGTTCTTGAAGTTGGTTTCTGGTTTGAAAAATATTATAAAATATGTAATTTTCTTTAAAAAAAAGTATATAGTTATTACCTTTTAACCTTTATTTATTTAGATTTTATTTATATTTAATTATCCACCCGCTGAGTTAAGCTTAATTTGTAATAAATTTTAGTTAAGAGTTTACCTTGAGCTTTTTGTATAAAAACTAAAAACATTTTGCAATGCTTAAAGACCTGTCTATTAACTTTAAATCTTTAAATGACTTTCAAGCTAGAAGTTATATTTTTTCTGAATTTTTTCAATGATAATTTTTGTGTAAAAACTTAATATCTCCCCTCTAAGACCCCTAGCCAGCCATTCAAACCCCTTCCAAAGACACTTTACTCATTGAGCCACCTACTTTAGGCCTTTCTCAATGAAGGCATGTAAAAGATTCGACTCAAAGTCAAGTCAAGTTTCGTTCTAAGTGGAAGAGACTTGGAGACTTGGAGAGATCCAAAAGAAAACAAAACACAAAATCAAAAAAAAACTGAGAGAAACTCGTTTCTTTTGGGATGCTGGATTGGCATGGCAAGAAGAACTTTCTTCTCATTGATTCTAGCGGCCTGCATATAAATAAATAAATTAAAGAGACTTTCTTTCTGGCTGGTTTGTATGCGTGAGTCTGTGGCTTCAGCTTTGGTGTCATCATCATCAGCCTCATCTATTCAATTCTTACAAGCTAACGCCTTAGCTTCAACTTCTCTGCCTTGGCGTCTGACCCAAATACTTTGTTAGCGCTCTTTCTACCGGGGGTCAGATCCCAAGTCGAAGTCTGGGCCTGGTTTTTCGTGCACCTTGTGTGTCATTATTTTGTTGTTGTTGTTGTTTGGGCGAGGAGATCTTTGGATTGGCTGTTGGCCCAACAAGCGGACAGATTATAAACATCAACCCATTTACAAGTATTTCCAGTCCTCCTCCGGCACTCTGACTTTTCGATTAATACGCAATTTTATCGGCATCTCATCTTCATTAGTTTGACCCAATTTTTTTTTGTATTTAAGAGTTCTTTTTACTTTCTATTTTTCCCCGGCTTAAGAATCTTTCGTGTGCCGTTTTATGGTTTTCTCGTTAAGCTTTTGATTTGGGTAACTCAATTTACTTTCATTTGAGGAAATCATTTTCACGTTTCTTCTGTCCATTAAAAGGTGTTTGGGCGTTTTCCGCTTACCACTTCCGTTGTGTTATAAGCTTAAGACGAAGAAAACTTTGATATGGTTATTTATTGGGTATAAGAAGGGAAATTTGATGTTTTAAAGTGATTAAAAGTTAACAATTAACCAATTTTTATGGTATTTATTTTTAAGACAACTTTTTAGTTCTTTTCACATCACATTTATCGATTTGGCAAAAAGAATTAACCTTTTGTTAACCCAACAAAACGAATGTGGTCAGCTCACTTTGATGACTTGTAATTGCGTTGCGATCAGAAAAAGATTTCTTTAGCTCTCATGCGGTTTAACCTTTAATGTTCTCATCAACCTTTGGCTGGAAGCCATGGTTCAAGTCTTGGCTTCCATTCTGGGTCGTGTTAATATAGAAGATAGATTGCCAATTTCTCTGGGATATTAAATTAATGTATGGTTTAAAAAGCAAACTAGAAGAGTTATAAATCTCAAAGGCAATATCAATCTAGAAATTTAAGTGCTCTAATAGATTTATAACCTAACAAAGAGGGGCTTTAATTCTATCTATTTCTGTTTAAAAAGAAAGCTGATCTAAACCATTAACATAACTTTATGATAAAGACAAAACACGAAATCACTTTGCTGACATCAAAGTTGTGCGATGCTAAAAAAGATATTTGCCAGATTTATTGACAAATGGGTTCAGTTTGGAACTAGGTCAAGTGGTGATAAAGGGCTTTCGATTGAAGATTTGGAATATGCAAAGAAATTTTGTCTGATAAAATAGTTTGATGGACAGCTTAAGAGCTTCATTAAGTCTTTAATGTTTTTAGCATAGATATATATATATATATATATATAAAGATGGATCTCTGTTAGTAGAGAACCTATAAGAACCGTTAAATGGTTAGGGCAAACCATCAGTTTGCTTTTGCTAAGCGTTTCGTTCGGTTCGCAGGGGAATATGAAACCCAATACGTCAGTTTTTCTCTTCCTTCTACTCGCTCTACTCATTTCGTTGTGCGATCGAAGCTGGGCCGTCTATAATTATAAGCCACCTTCTCGTGGTTATTTCTATCCGAAACCAGCTCGACTGCCACCTTTGCCAGTCAATGGATCTACAACTTTGGATACGACTTCCTCTGCTGCCAGTCCCAGCCCACCGCCCGGAGTCCAATCGGATTTCATTGATGATCTGATTGAGGGCCATAAGCAGCAAATCTTATCGAATGTCTTGGGCGTGTCCAGTGAAACTCCCTCGGATCCGGCTATCTCCTCCTCGTCCCCAAGTTTACCCCTCCTCGAGGGCGGTGGTGCCAAGGCGTTTCGCGTTAATCGCTGTGCCAGCTGCAGTGAGTTGGGAAAATTGGTAGTGCCAATTGGAAAAACCAGCCAGGGAATGAAACGATACTGGCTAAACTCTGTCTAATAATTGGGTATTTGATTCAGTTATTGTACGCCTATTGGAAAAACGCATTAAAACCAAACGTGTTTGTGAAACGTGCCGTGAAAATAGTCAACGGTTTTTCTTTAGTTTTTCGAGTGATTAAATTTAACGATTCTATAAAATAGTTGTAATACGGTTATTAAAAAACATTATTAATTGCATTTTATAGCATCTTAACAAGTAATAAGATGATGTTAAAGATTAATGATCGTTATTAGCGGAGTGAAATATGAAGATGCTTAAAAAACTAACTTTTAACTAGAAAGATTCTTAAAGTAGATTAAACAAGCCTTTAAACGTATCCTTAAAACTGTAAATCAGTTAATATTTTAAAAAAATATTTCATTTTAAGCTAAAAAATGATAATGTGATCTGATTTTTACAGATTTTTAAAAGGATTTTTAAACTTAAAGTTACTTTCAAACTTTAATTTTTTGCACAGTGACTTTAAAACTTTCCTCACATTTTAATATTTGTTTTTAAATTCAAATTAAGTTTATTTGTTATTGTTTTTTGTTTTGTTTTTCATAAAAAATTAAGACTGTATAACCTCCCAATCACCACCCCACGTTTCCATTCCCTGACTGCTTCAGTTGGCCACCAAAGATCACCCAGACCAGAGATCACAGACCACATGAAATTCCAATTCCAATTCCAATAACCTCTTCCAGCCTGCGGCGTTCCCAATGTGAATCGCATTGTGGGCGGCACCCAAGTGAGGACGAATAAATATCCTTGGATTGCCCAGATCATACGCGGCACCTTCCTATTCTGCGGGGGAACTTTGATCAACGATCGCTATGTCCTGACTGCCGCCCACTGCGTTCATGGCATGGACATGAGGGGCGTGTCCGTAAGACTATTGCAGTTGGACAGAAGCTCCACCCACCTGGGAGTCACCAGGTCGGTGGCCTTTGCTCATGCCCATGTGGGCTATGATCCCGTGAGCCTGGTACATGATATAGCTCTGCTGAGATTGGATCAACCGATTCCTTTGGTGGATACAATGCGACCAGCTTGTTTGCCCAGCAATTGGTTGCAAAATTTTGACTTTCAGAAGGCCATTGTGGCCGGATGGGGTCTGAGTCAGGAGGGTGGTTCCACATCGAGTGTCCTGCAGGAGGTGGTGGTGCCCATCATCACGAATGCTCAGTGCCGGGCCACCTCCTATAGGTCTATGATTGTGGATTCTATGCTGTGTGCGGGATATGTGAAGACCGGAGGTCGAGATGCCTGTCAGGTGGGTTTTACAGTTTGAAAAGGCTTCTGACTTCAGTTGCTCTCAAACTTCTTCTACTACATCTTCAAAACTAAGAAGAAATATCTTTATATCTGTTATGGAGTAAAAAATTACTTGCACTTTTTAAACCAGGGTGATAGCGGTGGTCCCTTGATCGTCAGGGATCGCATTTTCCGACTGGCTGGTGTCGTTTCCTTTGGCTATGGATGTGCCAAGCCCGATGCCCCTGGTGTCTACACTCGAGTCTCTCGTTATCTGGAGTGGATAGCAGTCAACACAAGGGATTCCTGCTATTGCGTTAACTAGTCGGTTACTAGGAGTTAACAAATCTTTTAAATATTATTTATTTATTTATTTTGTGAATTAATAAATATTTGATGAGCCTCTTAAAGGGCTGATTGAGATTTTCTAAGAACTTACAAGAACTTGGAAACTAGATTATTGACTTTCTCATTCCTTATCCTTAAATTACATTTTTTGAAGCCAAATCAAGACCTTTAAAAAATGTTATTTTTGAATATTATAAATGGATTTTAGAAGTACTTTTTATTTACTTCTAATGACAAACATATATAGGGTGGGTGGCCCACGGAAGATTTGCTTTTTGAAATCGCTATAAAAATATCAATATTTTCCAATTTTCTTCGAACGTAAACTTAATAATTTCGTGAAGCGTAAACCTTCTACTAAATATCTGACACATTGACAATGACATTCAAAATGTTAAAGTCAAAATTATTGATAGTTCAGAAAGCAAACATTACTTGGGCCAGGCTGTATATATTAGGTTGTCAAAAAAGTCTTGCGCTAATTTCGATAGTTGGCACTGAAAGCGCGTAGTTCTTGTTTTATTCGTCGCATCAGGTCATACTATACCTTTTTGGAAAGCTCATTTCACGCGCTAACACGTGTTTGATTGATTGTCTTTTCTGTTAAGTCGTTCGTGAGTTATAGCGTCGCAATCATGGAGCAAAATAAAGAGAAAATACGGCATAGTTTACAGTACTACTACGATAAAGGCAAAAATGCATCTCAAGCCGCGAATAAAATTTGTGCAGTTTATAGACCCCATACAGTTTCCATTTCCACTGCACAACGATGGTATCAACGTTTTCGTTCTGGTGTAGAGGTGGTCGAAGATGCGCCACGCTCCGAGTTTTTTGTCAATGGGGAAGCGAGCTTCTATGAGAGGGACGATATGAAGTTTGCATCTCGTTGGGAACGCGTCATCGAACAAAACGGCGAATATTTGACTTATACCACAAGACTTTTTTGATAACCCAATGTATATCTAATTGCGAATAAACTTACTTTATAACTCCCAGTAGCAGCATGATCATAAAAAAATCCAGTTCCCCCAATCCAATCGCTGAGTTGTGTTTTTTTTTTATTTATTTTTTGTCTTGTAAGAAACTAGACCGCCTGTGACCCACGCAACTCCCCCTCAATCGACAGCTGGTTTTACTTTCTTAATGCAAAAGAAATACAAATTGTACAAATATTTTGAGGAAACAGGTTATGGAAACCCTAGCAGTGGCCTTTCACTTTTTTCTTAGCAGAAATCAATAAAATTCGAAGTGGAAGTAAGTCAGAGTTGAAGTTTGCTGAGCAAAAAATGAAAAGCAAAAATCGAAGCCAAGGACATGGCCTGACACATTGTTATCACTTGTCAAGGACCCTTCAGCCACCCCCCTTGTTTCACCAAGTTAACAAAAACCTTTATCTTTATCCCTTTTGGGCCAAAAAAAAAACAGGCCGACTTGTGGACGACGACAGTTGTTTAATGGATTTTCAAGTTATTTCTGGTATTTTGTTGTAGTTGCCGCTGCATGTCGCAGAAATACAGCAAAACAAAGATATCTCTCGACGGGAAGAAACTCGTTTGTGGCTAGGGGCCAAAGAAAATGCCGCATAATTGCCGCCGCCACGACTTCGCCCAGTCAGGGGGGGAGGAGAGTCGTGGCGGACGACGACTAGCCACCGAATCGACAATGTTGTCAATGCTACTAGCTGCCCTGGCATTTGATTTTATTTTTAACTAGACTATAATTGATGCCAGGCATTGGCAAGGTTTATCGAGAAGACGAAACTTTGTGGGTGCAAGAGGGGGGTGGCGGGACACTGTATGGAGTTCAGGGAACAGTGCAATTTATCTTAATTAAAAACTCGGAATCAGTAAGAGAGTTGTGTTGTAATATTCATGAAACATAGGTAATTTGCATAGATATGGGTTTAAGGGAGGTGTGGGTGGTGTTTTTCAGAGGTTTCGTTATAAGATATTTCCACCTTTCCTAGATGTAGATTTTAAAAGTATTAAAGAAGTTTCTAATAACAAATAAACTTTATAATAAAACTTGAAAATGTGGTGCTTAAATCGTTACATTTTTTTATAGATTTTATCTGGAAAGAAAATATTTTTTAAAGTATTTTTTTTTGGGAGTTATAAAAGTTTGGGTTTATTCTTCCTTCGTATTCTCCGAAATTTTAACAAGAAACTTTCGACATTTTGTAGAATATAAAAATTACCTTTAAAAAGAAAATATTTCTTAGTTATGTGTTTTAAAAATCTTTTATTCATTATCATTAAGCATTACTTTTAACTTAGCATTTTCATTTCCAATCTGCGATCAACCAAAGGGCATTACCTTTGATCCAGTGAGTCTCGCAACTTTTGTATGGAAGCAATCCTCGACTGGAGTTCTCTCTGAACATAAGCACAATCTACAACCAGGTCTAGACAGTGATCCCAATGTCGATTTGCCACTCTCAAGGTAGTTGGCACCAAAGAGCCAAAGATATTCGTTAGAGGTAGAAAATAACCCAGTATTGGATCAACAGGAAATCGTAAGATCCTGAGTACTCTACCGCAAAATCTTGATTCCTCTACAACCCTAGTGATAGCCTTGTAGGATCGTGTTCTGGGCAAACGGGCTGCCGCTGAAGTATGTTGACAACCCTGTTGCAATCTCAACCTGGCCAGGAGTAGGCGAGCTCTACACGACTCTTTGCTGACCTGCAGATGGAGTAGCTCTCTGTCCTCAATAAGGTGTAGCATTTCCAGGTAGAGATCGTCTAAAAGAAGTCTGTCTTCTTGATCCTTCGAACTGGCTTGCGTTTCCCGCTTCGTAACCTTAGATTCATGGATGGCCATTTGCTTTCTAATCATGGCCGGTTGGGGTTCTTTTTCAGTTTCAGTTCAGTTTCTTTTTTCTTTTTAACAAGTTTTGTAAGTTCACAAAAATATTGCCTGGAAATAAGTTTGATTTGAAACGTCATTGTGACGGAATCAAGGCTAAAATATGTTTAAAACAAACAACAACAAATTGCATTACAAAATCTTTTCAAATTAAAATAAATCCCTGTAATTACATTCAACTAAAAACAAAAAGGGGTAATAAGATAAGGTAATTTGTCTTTGGCAGAGAACGTCAAGGGTGTCTTTTTTCGGCACCCGAATCACACTCATAAATTTCGAGTGTGTGCCGCACTCATGAACAGAAACAAAAGAGCACACACCCGAGTGCACAGATCGGTTTGTGCGTTTTGGGTGATTGCGTTTTTGACACCCGCTCAATTTTAGGCACATGAGTCTAATGCACAGACACCCTAAACACTCATAGCAAATGAAGCGAGTGTCTGAGACACCCATGATTTTTGGGAAAGTGAGTCGGGTGTCTTGAAAGTGAGTCGAGTGTCTCGAGATGAGTCGTGTGTCTTGAAATGATTCGGGTGTTTCGGGTGTCTTCAACTGATCTGTGTGTTTCGGGTGTCTTCAGCTGTATTGCATGAGCAGGTCATTGAGGGTTGACCGAATAATTTTACATGAAAGTAAGGAAGGAAATCCCAATAATGGTCCCTTAAAACAGGCCAAATATTTTGGGATTTTCCGTGCCAGGTTATCTACCTGCTATTCGCAGTGAAATTGACTTATGATCTGTATTCTTATATGTATTCTTGATGCAATGCCAGTTTTTTTTTTGCGTTTTTTAAGACTTTGTCATTGAAGATTAATTACTTGTAATGATTACAAACTCTTATTGTCTAATATTAGTTACTGAAGACGGCAATAATTTTTATTATTACAAATACACTTTTCTAAGATTAAAATGAATCCAAACGGAAAACAAATTATTTTCTGATTTTTAAGGGGCTATATTTATGTTTAATTATTGGGATTTCCTTCCTTCCTTTCATGTAAAATTATTCGGTCAACCCTCAATGACCTGCTCATGCAATACAGCTGAAGACACCCGAAACACACAGATCAGTTGAAGACACCCGAAACACCCGAATCATTTCAAGACACACGACTCATCTCGAGACACTCGACTCATCTCGAGACACTCGACTCACTTTCAAGACACCCGACTCACTTTCCCAAAAATCATGGGTGTCTCAGACACTCGCTTCATTTGCTATGAGTGTTTAGGGTGTCTGTGCATTAGACTCATGTGCCTAAAATTGAGCGGGTGTCAAAAACGCAAACACTCATAACGCACAATCCGATTTGTGCACATTCAAAATGTGCTGTGCAAGACACTCACCCTTATTTTAGGGTGCCGATCACACTCTGAGTCCCGAAAAGGCACATATGATTCGAGTGCACTCATTGTATGGGTGTACCCTTGCCGTTCTCTGGTCTTTGGACATATCTAACTGGCAATCTTTTCAAATTAGTTTCCCAGAAGAATGAACTAGTTCACACTTACCCAGCTTGAAACCAACTTGTTTACCTTCAAATTTCTTTGTGTTTTTTTTGTGGTTTTTTTTGATGAATTTATCAGATTTGTTAGCCTGCCTTGAAATGAAGAGGTTAGAGGAAGCCTCGCACACCGCACGCTTCGTTGGCCAATTTAACATAATTCTCACATAAATTGCCAGCGAGTTGGGTAGAGAAATTTTCACGCCTCGCTTAACGCATTTGGCTGGCAAAGCCACTTCTTGGCTTATTTTCTTGCCTCTTTTTTTTATTTTTTTTTATATTATCATAACTATTTTTTTATTATTTTTTTTATTAGACTAAAAACAAATGTCCGAATTTTGTACAAGACACGAGTTTTGCGCTGCCTCAATGCGGCGGCACTTTGCTGGCAAACCGCAAAACATTTTAATAAATTGCCGGTTATTAGTTTCTTGCGGAGCGGCAGCAGGAAAAAGTGCAATTAAAATGCATTCGAAAAGGGGTGGTGTGGTGGTGTGTTGGGTAGGAAAATGGGGGGACAAAGGAAGTTCCGCAGCAAAAGAAATTAGCATAAGCATTGGACGGTTTTTTTTTCTCCCGCCCAAAGGGGTAAGGTGGGGGCAAAAAAATAGTAGAGAAAAAAAAAACTGTTGCGCTAGTTTCCCATAATTTGCTGCAGCAAAGATAATGAGCAAGAAAGAGTAGCCAGGGAGGTGGATAGGTATGGGGTTTGGGTGGAAAACCCAGGAGGCGGGGCAACTGCGGTCAGTCGCATAGCAAATGGTGTGAAACTCTGCTGAAAGTGGGGGGAAGCCTTTTGCTTTGCTGCTGCTGCTGTGCTGCCTTCATTGTTCAGCTTTTGTTGCTGTTATAATGGCCAAGGCTTGCAATTTACATAAATGTTTTTAATTAAATGCATTTAAAGCATACTTTTCAAACACAGCAGCTGGCAAATTTGTTAATGAAATCGAATGGTAGGGGAAATGGGAAGTGCCTTTAAAGTTAAGGTTATTATTTCTAATATGGGAACCGCGACAGGGAAAGTAATAATAATAACAATCGCCTGGCGTGGGGCCTGCTGATAAGAGATTTCAAATGTGATTTTTAATGCGCTAATTAAACTTTGAGCTTTAGGCGGAAAATTGATTTAAGTAGTTAGGGAGGTTGGTTGAGTTCGAATAAGGAAAAAGTCAGATATAACCTTTTAAGTATAATATTATAATAACTAAGATATACCTCAACTTACATTAAATGTAAACTTTGTTAAAATGCCAAATTAGTTAGAAAATGATCTCATTTTGTTGCCAATCCCAACCTCCAACCTTATGTAAGAGCAACGAAAGACCTTAATCAACTGCCAGCCCACTTATCACTCCCTTGTCACTCGCAACTAACCGCATTTGAAGTAACCATAAAATCAAGACAAAGACCAAGGCGATTAACTTGTTCCACGAACTTTCAAAATGCAATGCCAAAAAAAGAAATGAAAAGAAAACCAAAAGATCCCACAACAAACTTGCCAAAAAAAATGAAAAACAAAAAACGAAAAACTAAAAACTCGATTCAAGCTCCGCTTATTTCCTTCCTGTGCACGACCAAACCAAAAAGGCAACCGCAAAAAGTTTTTTTTCACCAATTTTTTTGCTACCTCAAATGTGCAAAAATTGGCAAAAAAAACAAAAAAAAAACGAAGTACGAAACAATTTATGTCAACTTTCTTTTTATCAAACAAAAAGAAGGAATCAAAAGGGGGGATGGGGTGGGCAAACATTCCAAACAATTTTCAAAGCCACCGCAAAAATCTTGCACCACAGACTCCCACATAAAGTCAGGCAGTCAGGTGGGTTTTTGGTTTTGTATTTTTAGTTTTTTCTTTCCTTCTCCTTTTTTTTGTTAGCTCTGAACAGATGATTTAGCGACGGGTTTTTTTCTCTCCACCAGTACGTTGCAAGAAAGTTGCCGAATCATGTAGCAACTCCTTCCCTTTCCTTTCCCAACTGCCTCCTTGCAAAAGACATCCCCCCTTTGGCCCACAGTTGGTTACATTTTTTGGGGGAGAGTAATCGAAAAGTATTCGCTGGAGCTCTTCCCGGCGGACAGGTGACCAATAACAACCACGACACTGGTCGGTTCAGTTCTTAAACTTGTTTCAATTTACTGTATTTTTACCGCTACTGTTGTTAGTAAAGTTTTATACCCTTTTTTTTATAGGGGGGGAAGGTTGGGGTACCCTGAATTTGGTTTGGGACTTAAATATTAATCGGTTATTGAATTTTTTTGGGTTTTATTGAGATTATAAAAAGAAGGTTAAAATGCTTAGCAGTTATTAATAAGCATATGAACAAATTTTTTAAGGAAATTAACAATTTTTAATTCAAAATTAGTTTTTATTTACTTTTCCTTTGGCAAATCTTGCTAGTTTACTGGTTAAAAAGGTACAAAAGTTTGTGATTTTCTTCAGTGTATAAGTTTTTAGGTAATATTTAGTAATTTATCTTTTTAATTTATGAAAAAGTAATAAAGTTTAAGTAAAATTATTTAAAACTTTAAGCTGAATATTAAATTATTTTGCATTTTTATTACAAATAAACATACAAAATGCAGTTTGCCATAAAAAATCAACATAAAAATCAAAAACCAACAATAAACACATTTTTAACACGAACTTTTAATAACAAATGCTTGTTAGAAAACATACAAAAACTGTAATAAAATCAATTTAATGGATTTTTCTGACCATTTTTCCTTAGGACATTTTTCCCCACTTTCCCCACTTATGTCTCTTTTATTTCGGACTTTTTTCCTGCCTCCATCCTTCTTCATCAAGCATTTTTTTTAACTTAATTTTTTATATGGCTATAACTGTTGTTTTGGCCAGAGCCCCGTAATTACCAATGTTGGGAGCAGGAGAACGAGAACTGGACCGGGACTGCAGTTGCTCTGTCGGGGAAAACGGCAAACAAGTCCAGTCAGTTCAGGCCAAGAGTCTCTATCTCTCTCTCCCTCTCGCTTGGAACAGCACAAATTTGAAATCAGTTTCATTATATAAATTGTTACCTTTAGACGATGTGGCAGACAGTTTGGGCCGGAGGTTTGTAGCCATCATTGAGCCAGTTTTTTTATGGTACTGCTGCTGTCTCTTCTCTGAGCTGTGAAATATATTTCTACTCTTTTTTTTTTTTGGCATTCCTCTTTTGGCAGAAAATTGCAGACAATTTGTGCTGCATAATGTCAAAGTTGGTTTGGCTTTTTGGTGCAAAATGAATTTGATTTGGGGGCGGGGGCCATCCGTTGGATAGAAGTGGCTCAGAGTAACGCACTTGACTTCAATTAGACAGCGAGCACTTACCAATTGCCTGGTTTTTTTTTCCTGTACTAACCCCTCCCTGATTTTCCCTGCCGCTCTTCCTCATCTACTGGTCAAACAGCTTCCTTCTCGAAAATGGCAAACTGTGTCAGTCAGCAGCGACTTTGACTGGCAGTCGTCTGCCATCCCATCGCAGTCCCTCGGTTCCCGATTTTTCCGCTACCCATCTCTCGACTTTCCTCAGCGCCCCATTTGGCTATTTTTCATGCTGCCTACACTGGAAGGAAAATAACAGCTAATTTAGGAAATTTTCTTGATTTTTCTTTGAAAATTTTACATTTTTGTATTTATCTTTTCATTAATTTATTTCAAGTTAATATTTTTTTCTGTTAAAACTTAACTTAAAGTGAAAAACTCTTCTCTCTGTTATATTTCGTGTCCATTTCTATGGTCAGCGGCTGCCAGTCAACCGCCAGTGTCCATCCGAGAACGCGTTTCTCCACCCAGATTCCGCTCCTTTGTTTGCCTTCCCCCTGAATGACTCCGGGGGGGTCAGCAGAGGCTCCCTAACTGTTTGTGCTATCCCGAGTGTTGACTGACAGGTGCCGCCGGAGAATTTTGGCGCTACAAAGTGCATAAATAAAAATTTTTCCAACTCTGTTGACAGTGGAACATGGCAGCGAAAGAAAAACGCCGAAAGAAAAATCACGATTCCGTTGGACTGAGGACCCCGAACAGCCAGCCATTAGTTAGATGAGTGAGCAAAGGCCTCGGGAAGAAATATGGCAGAGGGCTTAGATTGGGCTTGCACTTTGAAATTCAGCTTGAAGTTTTCTTTTTTAAAGAAATTTATATCGCAGTCTTTAAAATTTTTAAGAAGAAGCTCCAAATCTTCTTGATTTTTACAGATTTAACCTTTAGGAAGCTATGATAAATATCAAAAGTTAGGTTTCTTTAAATTAAATGTTAAAAATCAAGAAATATTTTGAAAAATGGAAGACCTGACATTATTTTACCCCTTATTTTACATTTTACTCACCAATTCGACTCACTTATTAAAGCGACATCTAACGAGAACAAACTGATCTACAAAGTAGACATTGTAAAAACTCTGCACACAGCAACAGTTATCATCACGTTTGGGTTCAAGACCTTGCTTACACCAATGCTCAACAACAACGATCTACCTCAAAGCTTTAGTAAAGATACAAACCATAATCAGATTTAAGCAAGATCAAAAACCTTTAATAAAAAAAACTTACAAATTAGTTTAACTATGTTTATTACTTACATAAAAAGTTTCTTATTAACAAAATATAATTATTAAAAAGATTAAATAACATAATACTCTTTTTATTTTCTAGGTCCTAACTCAAAACTACAAAAATGGCCTCCACAACAAAAGAGAATGGCACGACAGCGAAGACAGCAACCATGGATGATGACTACATAACGGTAGTTGAAGTCGATGATCCCACGTCGTCCTCAAAGGATCGCCTTAAGAAGCTAGTCAAGCGGCAGAGCTCCGTGGCAGAGGACTCCTCGTTCATCACAGTGCTGACCATTAACGAGATGGAGCTTCTGCAGCAGCGAAAACAGGAAGAGGGAATCGGGAATGCCTCAATCCCAATTAAAGAAGATCAAATCGAGGATGTCACAGTGTATAGATTGCCGGGAGAACGTCTCGGTTTCGGCCTCAAATTCCAGGGAGGCACCAGAAACACAGAACTCGTCCAAAAACTGTACATACAATCCTGCGCCGCCGACAGTCCCGCCTCCAAAGTGTCCACCAGTTGGGGTAATCTTCGCGAGGGCGATGAGATTGTCAGTATCGATGGTCGAGATGTCAAGGAGATGACCCGGATCGATTGTGTCCGTGGGCTGAAAGACAATGTGGCCATTCAGTTGGTGGTGCGCAATGGTCATGGACAGAAACCACCAAGCGAAGAGGATCCACAGCAGCAGTTGGAACAGCTTTCGATCACATTGAATGCCCAACCACCGCCACCGCCGCCAGTGCCACCAAGAAAATTGGTCAGGCGACAGAACTCCAAGGAGAACCAAGCACAGTTGGTGATTGAGAAGCCACTGACACCACCGCCAGATGCGGAATACTACCTGAATCTACTTACCGAATCCATCAAGGCGGGGTCTGAGTCCGATGATACCGCCAGCACCATATCCACCGTCATCGATAAGTTCTCCATGGGCTCGAATTACTCCTCGGATAGCAGTCTCAATGGTCATGAGTTGGCCAAGGTTTTGCAACCTTTTACTCTCCTCGAGCAGGAGTTCCTGCCCTTGGAACAACCTCTCGGGCATCCCAAGTTGCTTATTCCTGGCAACAACTACGAGAATGTGGAATTCAAAACGGAGAAGGTCAATGTGTATGAGAATGTGGTGCTCCGAAGTCCAGAAACGACGCCCACACCAAAGCCCAGAGTTCAATTGGCCACCGTGGAACCCAAAAAACGATCCATTATTCCCATGCCAAGGAAAATTCCCACACCAAGCAAGCTGCCAATTGAGGTGACTCCACCACGTGTTCCCTCAATGGAGGAGCCCAAAACACCAACTAACGAGAAGTTGGACTCTCCTAAGACACCCACAAATGAGCTCAAGGAGTCACCAATTATTACTACCAAAATACCTAAGGCCAAGTTCTCGAGGGCCAAAACCGAAAGCGAGATCAAGCTGCCCTTGCAGCCCTCGAAACAGCAGTCACAACAGGGAAAATCCCGCATACCCATAGTCAGTACACCCAGTCCAAAAGTGATTCCCAAGCCAGCGTCACCCACATTGAATGGGTCATCACCAAGTTCAAATATTCCACGGCTGTTGCAGAAACAGAAATCTGAAACGGATTTAAAACTAAACTTGTATCGAAGTAAATCCAAGGAGGGCAGTCCCAGACCACCTTTGCAGAGGGCCAACTCAGCAGAGGCCCCGGAAAGGACCTTTATCCCTGTACTTCTAAATGGCAACTCCAAGAGTTCCAACTCCCTGGAAAGCATCAGTTCGCTTGGAAGTAATAGCAGTGGAAATAGTGGAAGATCTCCCAAGGGACCCAAGCCCAAACCACCAGAGCGGGTCCAATCGCTGCAGAAAACCCAAATACCCAAGCTCCAGACACTGCCAACTACTCCACCTCAACAGATTCCCAAACTGAGTATGCAAACCTTTAAGCAAAGCCCACCCACACCCAGATCAACGCCAGTGGGTACACCATCACCAACCAGCAATCGAGAGATACGCTTCAAGATTCAGACGTACGAGAGCAAGACCCAGGACGAAGATAAATTGCCCAGCCTATTTGACCTAGTGCACAGTCAGGAGAAGGATAAAGATAAGGATAAGGAGAGTGATTCACTCCAGATCCATAATAATATCACAGCACTTTTGGCCGCCGCCGCTGCCGAGGCTGCCGATCTCTCCCGTGAATCTCCTCCGCCGCTGGTCGTTGGGAAATGCATGAAGATTGTCGATGATAACAATACGACCACCTGCTATTCCAGTTCTAGCAGTGGGGAGGAGGATGAGGATGATGTGAATGCTGCCAACAGTGAATATATCTGCGAAGATGGCGAAAAGTTGGGACCGCCAGAGCTGATAAATGGGCCAGGTCCATCGGAGGCTTATTTCAATATGTTCTGGCACTCGAACATGCTGCCCACCATTGGCGAGGTCGAGGAAGAGTTCTCCTCCCTGGAACCGCAATCTTTGACCAACGGGTGAGTGATTTTTAGCTTGAAAGGATTGGTTTTGGGGGGATAAGATAAGGTTTTAGAGTGTCTAGAAGATATTTGCACAGCTTAAGTAAGGCGATGAAAGGAAAGCATAAGATTATTTTTATTATGATATAAATCTAGAGAGATGTACGAATTACAGATTCTAACAAGCTTAAAGCTTAACTTTTGTTTTGAAAATATTGTTTTATTAAAATAGCTAACAGAAAGTAAGAATATTTTGGTTTACTAACAGAAAAAAAAACCATATCAACCTTAAACTGGACAGAAATTCTAATCAGTGACTTTTATGGTATGGCTTAGAATCTAAACTTTAGATATTTGCCAAATACCATTTAGTAATAAAAATTAAATATAGCACTTACCCATATATACCATTAGGTAATTTACAAACCAAAACAAAGTTTTAGAAACTAATAGAAAATTCTATAAAATACACATTCTCTGCACTGACCAAGTCCATTGATAGATTAGCTTACCTAACAGCAATTCAATGTCGAAATAGGTAAAAGGGGACTTTTCCAATAGCTAGATTGTTGCAAAAAAAAGCGAATCGCAAAAAATAAAAACAGTTAGAAGAGGCAAAAGGGTAAAGAGAAAACCCCTAAAAAAGAAAACAAAGCAAATAAAAAACAAAGTTTTGTTGATAAGACAAAATGCCGGTGTGTTTACTAACACACTGATAAAGGGGTCTCCAACAGCCCGATAAGGTGGAATGCGATATTGGCATATGAAAAATAGGAATCAGTGTGATTTTGGTAACGTTAGACGAAGGTTCGAAATTGATCGGGCCCAAACTCTATTGACGTTTTTCTGTGCAGGTGTGTGATGACAACAAGTCAATTAGCATATCTCTACCTGCTGATAAGAAGTAATTGTAATTACTTTGGTTTCATTTCGATTTGTTTCTTTTTTTTTTTATCCAGAAACCTTGTCAAATCAGAGGAGTCAAAGAAGTTACCCAAAATGGAAGTAAACGCTGGTGGTGGACTGACCCAGCTGACTGACGATAAGATTGCTGACCATGACGCATGTGAAACGAGAGTGGATAGTCGTAATGACACCACAACGAACCAAGGAATCCAGGAGATCAGCTCGTCTAGCTCGAGTTCTATGAGGAGTCAGAAGACCACCACAACCACTCGAGTGACCACCACTAAGACCTGTTCTAGTTCCAGTTCTTCAAGTACCTCCTCCTCCAGTAGCTCATCCACCCTTATTCCGGATATCGCATTTAAGCTGCAACCATATGAGGAAAGGGAGGAGATATTCTCGGAACCCATTACCATTATCCATGAGGAACGACGTGTGCTGAGCGAACAGAAGACTCTTAGTGAATCGAGGACCCGAGATGCTTTGACTGGCGAGGAACAGCTGGTAACTAGTGCCAATTCGAAATCGAGCAGTGCCCGCTTCAAGAAGATCAGCAGCAACGACAACCTACTCGACCTTGGTGACGAGCAGGAGATGCAGGAGCAGCCGTTGACCGCCACGATTACCCAGGAATCGAGTCTAAGGGAGCGATTGGAGTGTCCTCAGGATAACCAGAGTATCGAGCGGGGTACTCTGACCCTATCCGAGCGGGGAAAGCAGCTGAGCGAAAACGAAGGACTTACCACCTACACGGAATGTGAGACGAGCGAAAAGGAGTCTTACTTGGAGGCCCAACAGGTTCTCAATGGATCTGGTAGTACTACATCCCATGATGAAAATGGTGATTTGCCCACTTTGGAAAGAGAGTTAATCGAAACTGTTACGGTTACCAACGATGGTGAGAAGCAGGTCACTAAGAAATTGGAACAGAGCAAGGAAATTGCCGGCAAGAAGGGTCCTAAGCTTCTCAAGAAAACCGATGAAGAGCGTCGTCTCGAGCAGGAGGCCCAAAAGCTGATCGAAAGCTATCAGAAAGTCAAGAAGGAGGCGGAGAAGCTGTATAAACTGGATGATGATGATACCCAGGGTTTTGACCTGAGTGCCTTCGAGCAGGTGGAGAAAGAGGATAAGCCGGAAATCGTTGAGGAAAGCCAAAAGGAGGTTAAGGAATCCCAACCAGCACATGTGGATATCCAAATCATAGAAGAGGTTAAAACCCCTGATCAGGAAGTCAAGGAAGAGGTTAAAGTCTCTCAAGAAGAAGTCAAGGAACAGGTCAAAGTTGTCAAAGAGGAAAACAAAGAGATTGTCTCTCAAGAGGCAGTCAAGGAGGAAGTCAAGGTGTCAAATCAGGAAGTTAAAGAAGTCTTGAAGAGTGAAGTTAAAGAGGAGGTCAAGTCCCTCAAGGAAGTCAAAGAGGAGGTCAAGGTGTTACGTCAGGAAGTCAAGGAGCAGACCACTAAGAAAGAGGCTGTCAAAGTAGTGCATAAGGAAGTGAAAGTGATTCAAGAAAGTGCCAAAATCACCACAAGTCACAAGGAGTCTTCCAAAGAAGTCAAAGTCTCCAAAGAAGAAGTCAATGTTTCCCGGAAGGAAAGTGAACTTCCTGCTTTGACGACCACAACAGTAGAGGTCATTTCACCACCTCTGGAAGATGACTTGGGCTATGTCCTTCACAAGCACATTATTCTGCCCCAAGAGAAAGTCAAGAAGGCACCAACTCCCTTACCCAAACCCAAACCCAAGCCTCCAGTTCCCACCAACAAGCCCAAAATGCCAGCAACTCTGACCAAACCGAAGACAGCCCCGCCACCAGTGCCCACTAAGAGGAGTGAGGTGACTGGATCGAATGGTAAGCCAACACCCAGCCAAAGACGCAGCAGTTTGGAAAACTCCCAGCCGCCCAAACCACTGGAACGTATAATTGTGGGCGTGGAGCAGCGGGATGAGACGGAAAAGCCACAGCCAATTATCAACTTGGCCAGCGTGGATCTGCCAAATGTGGCGTCCAACGACAAACAAACGACCGCGGAAACAAGTCCCGTGGTGGAGATGCCACCGGATGAGCTTCAATTCGAGAGCCACCAATTGCCCGATGATGGGGCAAGGCAAAAGGATTCGCACCAGGAGTCAAATGACCTGCTCAGCGGTTCGTCATCGTCGTCGGTTACCACACCCATAACAACGCCAATTTTGGTATCTGCCACCTCATCGATGGATTCGGTGCAAAGTGTCATCGAGGTCGTCAATGGCAATCACCAACACCAAACCGACGATGACGACATTGATGAAGATGAAACGGCTGATGATGCAGTGGAGGCCGAAGGACTAAAGGACGTAAGTCCTGTCGAGGAGGAGGTGACAACATTGCCGCTTGACAGAGAACATGAATCAGGTGAGTGAAGGACGAATAGGGTTTCGATATATTGTGTTGTTTGAAGTTTGGTTTGTAGTTACTACTTTAATATTTTATCTATACTATATATATTTTTTTTAAATTTAATTTAAAGTTTTTATTTATTTTAATCATTGATAAATGATTAAAAATGTTAACTGCTTTCTTAGAATATTTTCTTTACCTTTAAAACAGGGGTGCCCAACGCCTATGCTCTCATTGTTTTTCTAAATGCTCGCTGCATAAGCTTTGAGCTCTCGCCGTGCTATTCCACCAACAATTTTTCGTTTTCCTCTTTCCGCCTCATTCCATTGCTAACTGTTCTTTTTTCTTCCTCGATCATCCTCGAACACTCATGACTTCTCTTTGCACTTTAGAGTTTATTTCGCAGGGGACTATTTGGCGACGATTTTTCGTTTTCCTCTTTCCGCCTCATTCTGTAGGTAACTGTAAAATATTCTGTTCTAGTTACTTCCTCCATCATCCTCGAACACTTACACTGGAATTCATTCGTTATGACTTCTGTTTGCATTTTGTAGTTTTTTTCGCAATGGACCATCGATGCAAGTTTTGAAATGAGTGATAAATTGTTTAGCATAAAGAAGTGTTTATTTTTCTCTCAGTGTACAGCTGCAAACTAACACGAAAACGTCACGATATACATATATGTACATACATATGTACATATGCAAGTCTTCTTGCATTTGCGATGGTAAAAGTTCGGCATTTGTAATACGAAATTGAGCACCTCTGATTAAAAACAGAATTTAATTCTGCCTAAAATTTTTCCGCCACACTTTATGGCTTGGTCTTTCGCCAGTTGCAGTGGCATCAAAATGTGGCATATCAGGGGATTAGGAGCTTGTCACCCTTTTTGCCTTCCTCGTTGTGTTGTTTACTAAGTTGATTTTTTGACAGTCCCCCAGATCCAAAGTTGGCCAAAAACCGACGACGCACGCAATTATCAGCCACCAAATGAGTTTTACAGGCAGCGCTGTGTTGGTCTGAACTGGAAACTCTCTGGATCGGACCCCCTCTGGCAACTTGTCACATTGACCACAATTTTAGTTTCCTCTAGCCTATGGTTATGCCCTCTCCCCATCACTATCCCTCTACCACGCCCCGTTTTTTGGGTCATTTCGTATGCAAAACGGCCACTAATGGACTTTATGGCCAAGTTTTGTTTTTGGTCGGTTTTTGGGGTTTTTATTTTCTGTGCGTGGACGTTTGATGGCTTGCCCTTCCATGTGTGGGAATAATGTTTGGTTTTTGGCTATTGTTTTTATTGACGAGATTATGCCATGTAAATTAAGTTTATCTTTCAATTTGTTACTTGATGGCGTTTAATTAGATTTAAGTTAACAGTGATGGGAGAACGTAGGCTGCAGACTTTCTAATTGGTTTGCTAACTTGGGATTTTTATAGAAGCTTTAAATTTGATTTTAGATTTTTAATTTAACTTTCTGCCACTATAAACAACTTTTATTTTTCTAGACCAAAAATAATTTTGCATATTGCAGATTTTATAATAATAAATACTAAATTTTGCAGAACATAAACAAACAATTTTTAATTTCCAAGATAAACAAAAGACGAACCTAAAGCCATCCCGACAAATAGCCACAAAAACCCAAAATTTATTCTCTGAAAGTTAATAAAACGAATATTTTATTACACCTATGGGCATTTTCGCCCCTGACATAATTGCTTGGCTTAAATATTTCATGTGGATTGGATTTGGACGCCTCCCCGTTTGCCTATATATATATAAAAGTAAAATTTGCATTTCATTTATTCGGAAAATCCAAGCGTAGCAAGGCACACAGGCAGGAAAAGATTGGGTCATCCAGATGTGCTGGCTGTGAAAAATATTCGGGGGAAAAATGTTTTAATTAAACAAAAAACAGGCAAATATTGGCACTACATCCATATCATTCCCTCGCATCAATCGGCTTCCATAGTTTTCCTGAGTTTTCCAGCACGCGCCAAAAAATATTTACATACCAAAATGCGTTTGTTGGGTGGCAAATGGTTGGTCGTTGGTATCGGGTTTTGTGGATTCAGATCTCCCCCCCCCCATGTTTGGGGTGTGAAATAATAATGAAATTTGCCTGGACAAGCCGCATCACATTTGCATATGCCAGTGGGTAGGACAGTGGGGTAGAAGAGGTGATATATGTTACCTAGAAATTATAGAGAAGTTGTTGATCTGAAAAGATATTCAAGCTCATGTTAGTAGTGCTGCTAAGTATATCAACTTTCTAGATATTTAAAATTTTAAGTTGTAAAATTCCTTACATTTTCCCACTCCTTTCCATATCTGATAAATATCATATACAATCCCATTGTATCTCCATCAGATTTTTGTTTTCGGTAGCCTCCCCCTTTTCGTTTCCCCCTACAACTTCATTGCTTTTAGTATGGTTTTTCCTCACCGCCTGATGAAACTTAACAAATAAGCTATTTTTTCCCATGGCTATTTTCGGTGTTTCGGATTTCTCTCTGCAAATATATATATATATATATTTTATATATGAAAAAATATTATTATTTTTCCATTGCTGGGCTCTGTCATTATTTTATGTGGCCGCACAAATTTGCAATTAAAGCTGCACAAAAATATGCAAAGTTTTTTTCACCATTTTATGACTTGAATGACTTTTCTGGAAAGCCATTGAACGTCATAAAAAGGAAATTGTTTTTGTGCTTCGTAATTATTATATATCTGTGACCGTGGTTCGTTAATTCCCAGACAACTGCATTGATAAGAGTCTTTGATGGTGTTTGGCTCTTATCAGTTAGCTGATTTGCCCGCTTTTATGATGACCATATGGCCAAAGCTCTAATAGAGATTGTAAATAATTGTTTTTTTGGCGAAATAAATACATGGGATTTCCTTTTATATATTTCTAATATCAAAGTTGGCTTTCAATAAATTTTGCATTTGGGAATTGGATTGAATTTTGAGTCAGAATGTCTGGTTCTGAATTTGAATGACTTGGCTGAGTGACTGACTGACTGACTGGCTGACATGCACCTCAGCAGTCAGTATCTGCTACATAATTGCTTTTGGGGTTTCAACCTCTTGGCCAATTGACAGCTCTTGGCTTATGAACATTCATGGAATTGGCCAACGGCAGCTGTGGCTGTGACACTATCTGTCCTCCATGTGTGTTTGGTTGTTATTTTTGGAAGTTTTTCCAAAGAGGAGGTTTGGGTTTCTAACTCAGTTTTGAATGGTTTTCCTTAGTAAGTTTAAGTTAATTTAAGAAAAGTGTAAAAAGTTTATAGCAAACTTTATCTTTAATAGAGAAATTATAAATTTGTATTTGATTTTGAAAGGTTTTAACTTTAAATGAGTAGGAAATAAGAGCCAAACTTCAAGTCAGTTTTGGGTTTAACTTTGCTTTTTGGATTTTAATTAAAAATTTACAATTTTCGGAAAGTTTTTGTAAGGTTTTATATAGGTTTTTACTAATAGAGTATATAGTAGTTGTATTTCTCAACTTAACCTCCTCTTTGCCAGCTGTTTTCATCTCACTGCCTTGCCTGTTGACTTGGCTATAAGTATTTTGCACACATTTCCAAGTCGAACACCCAGGAAGTCCAAACCTCTTTTCCCTCTCAAATCTCCTAACCAAAATTTGACCCCTTCTGGATTTGCCTTTGTGTCACGACGAATGCTGTGCAAAATTTATCGCTTTTGTGAATTTGAAATTAATTTCAAATTAATTTTCAATTTCGATTTTCGCTGCAGTCGTCGGTTACTGGTTGTTTCTTTTGTTGTTGTCTCTTTGCCGTTTTTCCTGATGTAATTACACGCTGTCCTATTTTCCGCAGCCGCTGCTGCTGCTGCTGCTGTTGTTGTCATTGGCGCCTCGGGGTCCTTTGATTAGATTTTCTAGCTAATTTTATTGTGGTGCAGTTTTGTGGCTTTTTCAATTGTTTTTTGTTGCCACATGTTGCAAAGAGTTGTGTTGAATTCAAATCCAAAATCCTTCTGTTTAGTCTGGCGTATTGTTTTCATTCATTCGATTTTGTTTTCCCTCCTGCTGTGGGGATTTATCTTTTCACTTTGCTGTTTGTATTTACTTCGATTTTCAGTTCGGTTTCCCTCTGTTTGTTGTTTTTCCTTTGCCACTGCCTTAAAAGTGCAACTCAATGTTGACCCAATACTTGTCTGGGTTTTCGCTTTTCATTCGCCACTCCTATATAAATATATAGATTGGGAAAAGGAAGCTCTTGGATGATAAATGGAAAAGTGAACGAAGTGTATATTGTAAAGACCAGGGAATTGGGTTCATATTTTCTAGAGGGGCAAGATGAAAATGCATTCCAGGTCTCACTCAATCATTTCAATCATCCTCAGGCTTTGTGGCTTTCAGCTGCTCATCATAGTTATAGATTTTTGTATATTTATAGGTCATCTGATTTGAACCCTTTTAGGTTTGTCCATCATCTGTCAAATTAAACACCAATCACCATAACAGCAATCAAAATCTATATTTAGCGGAATTTTTGTGGTTAAAGCTTTTTGGCGTTTTGTGGTCTTGCCAAACGTTTTTCAAATGCCAATTGTTAGGTTTTTTCACTAATTTTAGATGATTAGAAACCACAGATTTTTGCTATTTAAAATTAATGAATAGAAGTTGATTTGAAAATTGAAAACCGGGCAATGCAGGTTTTCCCTGCAAACATTTTACCTTAAAAATCTGTTTTTCTTAGTGAATTCCCCGCCCCTTGTTGTGATTCTTGCAACTAAAATTCTATCAGCTAAAAGACTAAAAAAAAAACAATTTGGCCACCGTTAGTACATCTCCCATGATCTCCGTTCCCAGGCATTATCATTTAGCGTGGCTAAGCTCATTAACGGATCCATCGAAAAAGAGTCTCGGACTTTGGGCCGCCTTTATGGGGTTAACCCCGATTCGGCGGAGAAGCCTAATCAGTTGTCAGTTGAGAGAGAGAGGTGCTTAGGCTCTAGGTGAGCAAGGAGGTGG